GCATTTCTAAGCAAGTGCCCCGATGCTGCTGACGCTGCTGGACCAAGGACCGCACTGTGAGACCCTCTGGACTGAACTCTGAACCGCTGGCTCTCCATCTCGGCTGTCCATAGAAGCGTCCGGGGAGCTTTCCATGGCTCAGATGCCCAGGTCACACACACCTGACTAATCAAAGCCCGAGAGGGGGCATCTGGGTGAACCCCAGAACTGCCCACTCCAGGTCCTCACTTGATCCTCACGTCTGGTGGGTTGTTCCTTTCTCACCGATTAGGAAACTGAGAGTTGGTGCAGTCACTATTTTCCCAAGGTCCTTTAACTGAACCAAGGGTCAGCCCTGGTGTTTGATTCCAGATGCCATTTTCTTTCTGTCACTTCCTCGTCCCTTTCCCACAGGTGAGAAGTCACCCGCACTTTTTTTTCCCATACTTATAGCCAATACCCACTTAACCAGTGACCCTTGCAAGGTGACTAGTAACGATGCTCTTGTTCTCATGACAAAGGTTTGTCGGCCATGATCGCTCCCACTTGACGGACGGGGAAACTGAGGCACAGAGCGGGGGAGGGCAACCTGGCCTCATCTGGAAGGCCAGGATGTGCTCGCAAAGAATCCAGAATTTAAGGCCGCCACCTGCACTGCGGGGCTGGGGGGTGAAGGATGTCAAGATGGACCTGGATCAGACTGAGGCAAGCCGCAGCAAAGCTGGGCGTGCAGGCAGGACCGAGATGCTGCTGTGGACAAGTCACAACGCAGAAGGAACAGGAGGCTGTCAGGACACGACCGCATCCGCAAAAGGCCAGGGCGACTCTGCCTCCACAGGCTGCCTCTTACATGCTTCCGGTTCAGCAGCGCCCAATCGCAGTGACGGCCCCACCCCGAGCTTCCCATCCATGCGCGCGATTGGCCAACACCTCCTGACGCGGGGAGCGGAAGTAGCGGCTTCCCTGAGCCTTCGTGGCGTCCTCAAAAGGAGCCCAAAGAAGCCTCGTTTGAAGCGCTCCTGCCCCACCGCAGCATCCTGACCCTTGCTCAGTCCCTCCTCGGCTGTCTGTCCCTCAACTTCCTGCCTTTCCTGGCTACCTTCCCGACTCTGGCCCTTGGCTCTGTTTTCCTGGTTCCAGCAGCTGTCTGACTTGGCAGCATCCCTGTGGACGGATCACTGGTGATGCCACCCTCCACCCTCCTGCCTGGCACCTCACCATTTGGCAGAACCGCTGCCATCTGAGCTCCCTGGGCCCCTCATGCTGGATCCCTACGCACACCGCTCAGGCGCCCGAGGTCTGATTCTGCCTGGCGCTCAGGTGATGGCCGGCAAGTGGACCCAGCCACGAGACGTGAGCGGGCTCGCTGGGCACCACTACTCAATAGCTTTCTTCCACCCACTGCCTTCCAGCCTCCACAACTGCATTTAAAGCAAACCTTATATATGATAGCCCTAAGTGAAAAGCAAGTATCCCTGGTCATCAGAGCAGATAAAATGGAAAAGAGGTCATTCGAGCTAGCTTCTGTGGTCTGTCCTAAGCTGGCGTGAGGCTGGGTGCCTTGCAGCCACACAGGGAGCCCACCCTCGAGAGAGACACGCTACAGACGCATTAGCATCCTCTGGCGTCCAGCTCCTTGACTGTCACTAGGATTGATGGTGAGACCTTGGAACGAGAGGGCTTTCTCACTGAGAGGACGGGTGTTCAGGGCCGGGGCAGCCCCTCCACACAGACTGCAAGCTGCTGCTGCACTGCCCCGCCAGGCTGCTTTTAGAAACCAGCCGGCAGCAGCTTGGCTGTGTAGCCAGAGCCCGCTGGATGGGATCCTGCTGCTTGCGAAGCACAAAAGCCTTTCCCACTGGTGATGGCTTCCAGACCTCCTTGACAAACAGGAGGCCGAGGTCTGGGGCACGCTGGTGCTGGCGGTGGGCCCTCACACCCCAAACCTTTCCACCTTGGCTTTGGCCTGGAGGTAGGGCAAGGGCTGGTTCCGTCAGTGCTAATGTGACCAAAACCTCAAAGGCACTTCAGGATAAAGGCCAAACCTTTCAAGGTCAAAACTCAGCCTCTGGGCCCTCCCTGGTGGCGCAGCGGGTTAAAGCGCAGCACTGAGAAGCTAAAGCCATTTCAGCATGAGTTCGATCCCCTCCCCGGAGGTGACCCCCATGGTGCAGCAGACCTCTCCCGGCCCGCCCACTGCTCCCCTCAGCAGTGTGCTTCATCAGCTGTTCTGCTCCCCACTCTGTCTCTGGTGAAGCCTCTCAAGCCCCTGCACCTCTGGCCTGTACCCCAGTCCTGTATGCACAAATAAATAAATACATCTTTAAAACAAACAAACTCACAGCCCCTCTGATTTCTGTTCAACTCTCTCCCTGCCTGGCTGCTTTGCACACGTGCTCCCTGGAATTTACCCTGATGCACACAGAACAGACCCTGCAGATGCACGAGCCTCCAGGAGCAGTGAGTGAGGGGCAGCGCACCCTGGGGGGCACCAGGTACAGGGCAGAGAACTGAGCAGGCCGGGTCCAAAGACTGCTAGCTTTTCCCCATAGAAATGGGCGCCCAGGGTTGCTGGAACTGCCAAGATTTCAAGAGATCCGGGAAATCTAGCTTTTATATGAAAGCAATTATTTCCACTCAGCAAATACAACCCAGGCACATGTATGTTCGCTCTACTGGACTTCAAAGCCCACCAACAGGTGCACAGTAAACAAATTGCAGTAACACACACAACAGGGGCTGGGTGTGCCCACCCACTACCAACCCATAGCACCCCACTGCTAGCAAGAGGGGGTCGGCTGGAGCCTCAGTTATACTGTGTGTAGAAGCCAATGACAGTAGGTAGGCTAGGGGCTGCCCCCATTTAGATAATGTTCTAGAAAATGCAAGCACATCTGTAGTGACAGAAAGCTCATCATGCTGCAACTGCAAACACCGGCGATTGGTCCCTGAGGGAGCCATGCCTGGCCTTGGCCTGTGAGCTTGGAAGTAAAATGCAATTAGAGGAAATCTGATTAGAACTGGATGACTGAGGCTTGCCTTTTGGAAGGATTTGGTTCCCTTGATATTCTGGATTTGGAAAAGAGGAAGCATTAGGGAGAAGGGGAAGGGGGATATATAGCTGCTTACCCAGATGTTTGGGAAACCAACACGTCCTGCCACCTACAGGCAGCTGGGGCACCCTCCTCCCCCATCCTCAATGTGGTGGAAAAGAATGCAGCACCCCAGCCTCTCAGCCTTGCGTTTGGATGCAACCCCCCGGAGATGTTGGCGCTTCCTGTGCGTGCAGTGATATCTGACACGTGATACCAGGTCTACGGTGCTGATGATGTCAGGGGCAGGGTCTTTGAGGGTGACTGTCACCTGTAGGCTCCCAAGTAGGCATCACTGTCCTACTACGAGACCTCACAGAGCTCCCTTTCCATCCCATGAGGGCACATCAAGAAGATGAGGCCCACCAACCAAGAAGTCGGTCCCCACCAGTCACCGAATCTCCAGAACCTTGGCCCTGAGGTTCCCAGTCTTCAATTGTGAGACATAAGCACCCACTGTTTATAAGCCACCTAGTCTATGAGAGTTTTGCTGTAACAATTGAAATACATAAAGGCAATAGTACATTCCTGTTACAATGAGTTACAGAGAGAGGAAGGAGCAAAGAAAAGCTTGAAATTAAATACATTCATGCATCCATCTTTAAAAAACATGGACGCACAAGCCAACATCATGGATTCCCCTCCCGCACAAGGACGGGGGTGTGGCTGTCGTGTGCCAGGAAGTGTGCTAAGCCAGGCGTGGGCTGGGTGTACAGAATTGAATCTGTAGAGATGTGGACAAGTAAAGCAGTTAATACAGTAAAATCCTAGCCACAGACACAGTGCTGACGCACTCAGCCAGCCAGCTCACCCACATTAACTTGGACAATTCTCATGGCAGCCTAAGGGCACAATCAGTGTCTGCATTCGATGCAGACGGAAGCCAAGGCACAGAGGTGGGGGTGGTTGTCCAAGGTCCCGGAAGTGACGGACGCAGAACTCACACCCGGGAGTCAGGCTCAGGCTCTGTGCTTCTGACCAGACGCTACAGACGGAAGAATGACCCTAACTGCATGAAGTTACATCTGTAGTCGGCCAGCTTGGATTTGTGGGCTACAGCTAGCCTCCTGCCTCCTGTTGGCTGGCTGACTACAGATGTGACTTTATTTTTTCCCCAGCCATCTGCTGCCTGGCCGCCTCGGCCCTGGCGGGACCCTGTGGGGATCTGTGCTTCATGCTGGCCTCTTCCCTCATGATACTTAACCTTGTGATGACTTGCGAGAAACGTCTGTTCACACTGCAGGCCAAAGGGTGGCCTGTGTGGGTGGGCCTACACCACCCCACTCACTGCATTACACCCTTCCTGCAACCCACCAGCCCCCCTCACTATAGGGGGTGTTCTGCACACAGGTTTAGGGCTGCCCGCCGTCAGCAAGTCCTTCCTGTGTGTGCATTTTCACAGCCACTGCTGTGTCCCAAGCAGAAAGCAAACCCCTCACAGGGCCCCCCTGTTCTCAGGGCTGTTGTCTCGGTGTCCAGAGTTCTTGCTGGTCAGGCTAAATGTACAGTCAGGCAGGGGCCTCTCAAGGGAAAAGTCCGGCGCGAGGACACCCTGGGGAGCCAGTATCTGCTGCGAGCAGCAGGTAGAGTTAGAACAAAGATTATAAGCTCTGACCAGCAAGAACACCGTCGCCTGCGCTCTGACAGCTACCCCCCGCCCGCCTGCCCATCCTGCTCGGCCTGTCCTCAGAGGAAGGGAAGGGCTGGGGCCATCACAGACTCGGACTCCAGCACACTGCTCAGGCCAAGCTCCAGGGTCCTTTATCAAAGAGCAAGGACTTACCAGGTGCCGGTCTCCCCTAGGAAGCGCTCAGCCCTCGCCCATTTGGGGGGGGGGGGTGACAACCTGCCAGCCCACAGCCAGGACGATGCTTGCTGCGAGGGCCAGGGAGGGCCGAGGAGGGACGCAGCCCCCGCGGCCGCGCTCACCTTGGCCAGCTGCGTCTGCAGCTTGTTCTTCACGTCCATGACCTCGGAGATGCGGGCCTTGAAGGCCAGGTTGGTGCTGGTGAACTGCTTCCACATCTGATCCGACAGCGTCTCAAACAGGTACTCGGCCTCCTCCATCAGCCGGATGGTGTTGGCCCGCATGTTCTGCGAGTGCCTGATGTTGTCGTTACTGAACTTGGCCCAGGTCTCAGGCACCGAGATGCTGCAAGAGGCACAGGGCAGACTCAGCCCCCGGAGACGGCTGTCCAGGATTTCTCAACCTCTGCACTTGACCTTGGGGTCAGGATCGCTCTGCATGGGGGTCGCGTACGGGGTGTTGAGCAGCACCCACACACTAGATGCCCGCTGCACTGTCTCTCCAGCTGCGACAAACAAATGCCCCCTGGAGAAGGGGCCCCAACCTCGCCCTGCTGAGAACCACCAGGGTCATCCAGCCCCGTTCCAGCTGTGGCTACAGAACCCAGAGAGCAGCTCCTGTGGGAGCCCCAAGACCTTCCCCACAAGCACCACCAGACACAGAGGCAGCGAGAAAGCAGGAAAGGGGCAGACGCTGGCCACGGGGTCCCCGCAATGCAGGGCTGCGCGTGTGGCCAGGCTGCCCAGTCAGACCTCTCCACCCCTCGAGGGGTCTTTGAACGCCGACCGCATGCCAAGCATTGTTCGAGGCAGCCGGAACAGCACCATCAAGAACAGCAGCCTCCCTGCCCTTGTGGGGATGAGTTTCCAGAGGAGGGTGACAGACAATAAATAAAGAAGATATTTACACGCGGCATGTGTACGCCGCAGGCATTTAGGAAAGGGCTGGTGGGTTGTAGAAGGAACAGCCAGAGCAGTGGGGGGCTCATGGGCGAACTGAACTTCCAAGGGCAAGAGGAGGGAGGGGAGGAGGAGACGCAGGGGGTCGCAGCTCCTGGGACGGAGAAGCAAGAGACTCAACCGCCAGCATCCTTTCGCTCCAGCATCTGTTTCCAGCTGTGATCCTCTTATTGACGGAACCCAAGGGGAAACCAGTCTGAGGAGCACGCCAGGCCGTCTGCAGAGGCAGCCTGCTCTGTGAGCGCGCAGGGCAGCTGAGAACTGATCTGGAGGCATGAACGGAGACTCGCGTAAGCCAGGAAGGCTTCTGGAGGGGGTGACCCAGAAGGACTCAGTTTCAACAGCAGGGGCTTTCTGGGAGAGTGTAAATTCTTGCCACCATGCAGTTTAAGGGGGTTCTCCCCGCACAGTCTTTGAGAAAGAGGAACACATTTCTTTGCGCAGACGTTAGTTTCTGGGTAAACCAGACTGGATAACTTTCCAAGGTCTTTTGTAGCTGGGAAGTCTCCAGTTCTTTTTTTCCCCTTCCAGTTCTTAAATAAAGCAGATTTTTATTCTTGGGCAGTAGCGGGGGGTGGGGGGGGAAACTAAAGTTTCTGAAATAGAAGTCTCTTTGCAGACATTTTAAAGTACACTGAGATTGCATGGTGAATAGAAATTTTGAAAAAATATGGAACATGTGGCTGTTTGTCTGGCTTTACAGTGAACAGCAAGCCACATGGGGGGTCTCGGGCTCGGGAGAAGGAAGAGGGCACTGTGTCTCCCCCAGGACTGACCTGCGGGATACCGTCCCCAAGGTCACCCGCTTCTCTCCATCAACGGAGCAGGAGGAGGCGCCGAGGAGGGCAGGGAGAGCCCTGCAGCTGAACTCGGGGTGTCTCCCGCCACAGGTTGCCGTCCAGAGCGGCTGTCTCTCACCCTCACCCTGCTCTGGGGCAGAGTCAAGCTCGCAGAGACTAAGCCGTCAACTCACGTCCTCCACGGCCATGTTCCATCTAGAGCCTGTGTCCTCCGAGACAGCAAGCTTAGCTGGGGAGGCAGGAAGGTGCCAAATCAAGACACTCCCCACCCCAGCGTCCAGCGTGGGCCCAGAGAGCAGCTCAGAGTGAGCTGGAGTCACCGCGCCTCTCAGTGAGCCTTGGTTCCTTGTCAAGTGGGAGAACAGGGTGCCTACCCTGGGGGTGGCTGAATGACTACCTGTGACGCTCCCAACAGAGGTCTCAGCCAATGTTTCACATTCGCAGACACTGCGTAAAGCTGTCAGCACAGAGGCAACATGGCGAACTCAGGTGAAGACACCTGCAGCCACAGTCCTCATCGTCACGGTCAGTTACCCCCGGCCACGAGAACGCTGGGAATGGACACTTCAGCTCCCAGCTCCACGCGCCTCCCACTTGCTCAGACGAGGCCTCGCTGTAAAGAGAGCCACGCACAAAGCCCTCAGCCAGCACGTCTGGGATCAGTCAGTCACCACAAAGAGCAGCTTGCACAAAGGGTTAAGTCTCAGCCACTGCAGCAGGAGTTCCATCCCCGGCCAGGGAGCACAGACCCCTCATGTCTCCCCACTGCTCCCCTCAGCAGTGTATTTCAATAGATCTGCCTGTTCTGCTCCCCACTCTGTCTCTGGTGAAGCCTCTCACCGCCCACACCTCTGGCCTGTACCCCAGTTCTTATGTGCATAAATAAACAAATCTTTAAAACAAAAACTAGCTCGCCCTCCAGCGGGGTTGCTGATGAGGGGTGTGGACTGGCAGCCTGGCTGCTGAGGTGGCCGAATGTCTGATGGGGTGGGGGAGGCCTTGTGCAGACCCACTGCTGGGCCCAGGAGGTCCCAGCCCCTCAAGTCCTGCCCACCTTGCTGTACCGAGGGGGCACAGCTTGTCAGGAGGACGAGGGGCCTCTGGAGTTGTCATCGCTGGAAATCCCGAGGCCACCTCCACCCTCGTACCACGTTGGCTGAGGTTCCAAGAGGGGCCTGGGCTTGGGCCAAGGAGACACCAAGGACTCCTTCTCCTCGTCCCTCCCACGTCCCTCCCTCTCCTCGTCCTCCTCATCTCTGCCCTATTTCCTTCCGCCCTCCCTTTCCTCCTTCCTTCTTGCATCCTCCCTCCCTCCATCATTCTTTCGTTCAACAAGTATCTACTGCACACCTACTGGGTGTCAAGCCCAGTTCTGCGTGCTGGAGATTAGTGAAAGGAGCCAGGGTCTGCCACCCTCGGCCTGGGTCTGCAGCAGCTCAGGCTCTGGGCTGCCGGCTGGGAGAGCCTGTCTCAGCTCTGCGCGAGACGCCAGCATGCCAGCGTGCCCACGACAGTCCGGGCTAACGGCAGGCACCTCAGAGCTGCTGCGATGAGAAACGACGTCCCACAGCAGGCCCTTCTCATCCTCCGCAGGGGCTCTGTGCTCCGTGCTTCCTGGGCCCACCTTTTACACTCCTGGCAGCCCGGGAGGTGGGTACTGCTACTCCAGAGGCACAGCGGAGAAGAGGGGACCCGGTGAGCCTCAGCAACCTGCCCAAGGTGCTGAGATCGAGGCTGGCTTTGCGGCCAGGCAGGCGGGCCCTGGAACCCGCTCTTAAGCTCCTACCAGCGCAGCAGATGTCAGGGGCTCGGAGCTTAAGTGCATCCGAGCCCCCTCACAGGCGTCCGGTCGCCCGCGATGCTGATGACCCGGACAGGCCTGGTCCAGGCAGTGGCCACGCGACACCCTCTAAGTCAACCACTCACTTTTTGCTGGAATTTGCATCTCCAGCAAAGTGTCTGACAATACAGCTGATTAGCTCCCACTCCCTGGCTCCTTCAAGCTGCCACAACCTTCAGCCCCAGCCTCTCGCGACTCTGTGGGTCTCCCACAACTTCCATTCAATGCCAGAATTGGGTTCTGTCACTTGCAGCTGAGGGTCCCCATCCCACCACTCTGACAGCCCGCCAGGCCCCTCGAGGCAGGACCAGCTCCAGAAGCCCCGCCCCGCGGAGGCCGCCAGGGAAGCGGAGGCGCGCAGGACTCACGTGCCGTCGATTTTCTCCATGCCGTGGAAGAAGCTGATGCAGTCCGACGTGTTCCTCAGGTTGAAACACTTCTCATCGATGAACTGTGCTGAGCTTTTGTTCTCGAGGTCCCTCTCGAGCGCATGCTGAGCATCTCGGTTATCCCTATGGGAGGCAAGGATTCATCCTGGTGTGTCCGGAGTCCTTGACCCAAGGTCACGGGCGGTGATTCACAGCCACTGCTGAAGCCACGTTCTGGACCCCCAGGGGGCGCTGTGTCCGCCTCAGTGGCTGCAGCTTCCTTCCCACCTTGAAACCCCACCAGCAACCCAGGGCCCTCCCACTCGTCCAATCCAAATAGAACTGCTATTATTTAGGGCAAGCGAGCATTGCTCTGAAGTACAGGGTCAAATGCTAAGTATTTCAGGTTTTGTGAGTCATGTGGTCTCTGTTGCGGCTGTCAACTCTGCACAAAAGCGGTCACAGGTACTATTAAGTAAAGGGTGTGGCCACACTCCCATTAAATTTAATATATAAAAACAGGTGGTGGGGGCCTCCCTGGTGGCACAAGAGGTTAACTCTCAGCACTATGAAGCTGTCACTGCAGCACGAGTTGTATCCCCGGCCGGGGAGCTGACCCACAGGGCGCAGCAGACCTCTCCTGTCTCCCCGCTGCTCCCCCTCAGCAGTGGACATTGTCAGTCTCCCTGATCTGCTCCCCACTCTGTCTCTGGGGAGACCTCTCACCCCCCCCCCGAATCTCTGGCCTGAACCCCAGCTCTTGTGTGCATAAATAAATAAAATAAATCTTAAAAAAAAAAAAGGTGGAAGGGTTGTTGGTGGAATCAGATGTTAAGAGGAGTCAAGGACTTGGTGGAGTTAGGGAATGACGTCAGGGAGGGCGGGGTCAGGGCGAGCCGGGGTCAGGAGCTGAGCCAGGTGTGGACAGTGGAGCAGAACCAGAGCTAGAGAAAGCAGGGCTGGTAATCTGGCTAAGAAGCTTAGACTTAAAACCTGTTTGCCAAACTTCGGATATTTGAGAACCACATTCAAAATTCTTGTCATATTTCCAAAATATTATTCTGGATAATAATATAATAAATTATATTATGTATTTTATATAAATATATTTTATAAAACTGTATTTTATGTGTAATATAAATATATATGATAAATAATGAAACATCCCATTCATATTCTGGAATATTAGTTGCAATTCCTTTTTAAGGATCACTTTTAAAATATAAATGCATATGCTTTAAAAATTTACTTTTAAAGTTATTTATATAAATGAGTATATTTTAAAAGGGAAGTTGACATCACTACCTTTAAAAGAAGACCTATAACCCTTTCATGAGTAGAAAGTCACCTCAGTATAAATACTGTGACCACAGAATCCTGGCTAGAATCTGTTGTCCCTAGAAGCGTTTAGGCCTGAGCCCTGTTTCCCTCCTTGGTTGGTAAAGATTAGTCAGCATTCAACATATAACCATTTCAGCCTTGACATGTTTAGAGGACTTGAAAGAGGAGAGGAAATAGGGAATAAACTTGACAAGGAAGTCGATGTCCAGACTCTTAGGGCAACTGATATGTACCCCACGCTTGACTCTCCCTTCTCGTTCTGCCCCTTCCTGTCTCTCTGCCTGTCTCTGTCTCTCTGTGTCTGTCTCTGTTGCTCTCTCTCTCTCTTTTTAAAAGATTTATTTTTATTTATGCATGCAAGCACTGGGGTGCAGGTCGGAGGTGCAGAAGGTAAGAGGGTTCCCTAGACAGAGTGGGGAGCAGAACTGGCAGATGGACTGAAATACACTGCTGAAGGGAGCAGCAGGGAGACAGGAGAGGTCTGCTGCGCCCTGTGGGTCACTCCCTGGCCGGGTTTCGAACTCAGGCCACAGTGGTGGCAGTGCTGAGACTTGGCCCCTGGGCCCCAGGGAGACCCTACCTTCTGTCTCGGTTTCTCTCCGTCCTGAGGTCTTTGGCCCTCTCCCATCTATCCCTGTGTATCATTTTGCCTCTTCTCTTTCCCGCTGTGGCCACTAGGAGCTAGGAAGGACGAGAATATGGGTGGGGGCTTCAGACATGCCACAGCAAGGCAAGAAAGCTGCTGGTTGGGCCCCCTGCCCACCATGGTACCTGGGGTCATGCTGGGGCAGGAGGAACCGTTCTTAGGAACCCTCAGGCCTTCTGAATTGGCAGAGCTGTGGAGAATGGGGCCCCGTCCAGCCTAATGAACTGCAATGTGATGAAAGACCAGGATGCAGAAAAGAAACACGCGAGGCACTGGGGGGACCTTCGGGCCTCTGGGTCCCTGCTCAGCCGGTCCAGACACTGGCCCTGGCTAAGGCCCAGGGAGCGAGGGGCTGCCCCTCCCTCGCCCCTGGCCCTGGCCAGCATCAAGTCCCACCGCTGTCAGCTGCCAGGAAAAGCCTGAGCTTGGCACCTGCCCAGCCAGCACAGCCTTTTCTGCTCCACTGGGCATCAGGTGTGCTGAGGATGTGACCCTGCCAGGATGCAGGCCTCTGGCTCATCCAGAAAACTGCAGTCCACAGCCCCAGTGCGGGCCTGTGAGGTTGGGGTAGAGCACCCCTGGGGGTGGAGTGGGGAGGAGACCCTAAGTTCTGCTTGGCTAGTGAGATTCTGGGTTTTGGGGGTGCACCAGCCATACGGGCTGCTCCCTCAAAGGTGTCAGGCATCTTCTGACAAAAAAGGGCCACTGTTCAAGGCCAATCAACCCTTTCAGGATACCCCAGCTTCTGTCCTGGCAAAGGGAACCCCCCCACCCCACGCTGGTTCCCATTCTCCTCTCCAGCCTCTGCCTCAGTTTCCATCGTTAGCTGCCTGCCCCAGCACCGCCCCTCCCCCCTCCGCCACGCCTGCCCTCCAGGGCTGTGGCCCTCCCCTCCGCCACCACGGAGTCTCTGACACCTGGCCCCTGGCCCGTCTCTCTCCCTCTAATGTCCAGAGACAGTCCTGTGTCTGTCTCTGGCACCTCCTCATCGCCAGGGATCTGGCAGCTCCCCCCCCCCCCCCACCCCCCCCCCCCCGCCACAGTGTTAACTCCCCCCCCTCACTTCCAAGCCCGGGTTTCTGCACACGCTCCCACCCAAACCATCCATCCCCAAACGTCAGCCCTCATGAACCTCCAGCACCGAGTTGTGTCACAGCCCTGGCAGGACCACAAATGGAAAACCATCCTCCCTGGCCAAAATTCAGTGGTCGTAAAAAGAGAGCCCCATCAAGTGCAGATGCGCCCTGCTCCTGAGCCCCCGTTCCTAGAACATTCCTGGTGAAACAGAAGCATGTAAGGTGCTTTGAAGGCGTGTTACCTTACAGACCAATATCAGACAAACCACACATTGTCCGGGGGAGTGGAGCTATCAGGATCGGAACGGGGTGCACAGAGCCTGAGCGCACCCCACTCCCAACATCTTGTCTCTCAGCCGCTGCTGTCTCTGCACCTCCTGCCGCACCCTGACCCCCAGATCTCCCTGGGCTCGCTGCCCCGGCCCCATGCTTTGACCTGCAACAGCTTCGCCACTCGGTCCCAGCTGCGCTTCACCCCAATGGTTCCCTCCTATCCCCCAGTTTTGCTCAGCTGCAGTCAAGAGGCTGCTGTGTGTCGAGGGGAGCCGGTAACTGCTCTTGCCAGGGTACAGTGGTGAGGGCACCCACCTCTTCCCAGAACCTATTTGCAAGCTGCATGGCTCCTTAGGGAACACTCTAGGCCACCCACAAGCACCCCGAGGTAGGAAGGGGTAGTCCTGGCGGGGTGGCCAGGCTTGTGCTCTTTTGATAAGTGAAGGGAACCCACCAAGCAGCAGGCTAGCGAGAGCCGGAGCAAGCCCGCTCACAGCGGGAAGCTGCCACGGCCCCCCCACAGGCTCCAAGCCCTCTAAAACCCAGGTCTCCTTAATTAGCGGGGAACTGACTTGTCACGGCGCCAATCACATAAGCTTCCAAGAACAGAACCCTGTCCCTTTTGAAGACTCAGGTTGCCGGCGTCTGCGGGCCTCACCGGATTGCCAAACGCCAAAAGCCGTGCTGCTCACTCTCAGGGTTCCGAACTCGCCCAAGGCCAGTGTCCTTCGTCCAGGCCCTCACTGACCGCGAGACCCACCCGTGAGGCACCGGCTCATGGGGTCAGTTGTGCCCGTCTCAGAAACATCACCTGGTAGCCTGACATCACCAGTGGCGGCATTTACACCACAGAAATTGGCAAAAGCTACTTTGCCAGAATTTGTTTTTCCCTTCCAGGAAAGCTGGGAGCTAAACACGCAGCAGCCCACCTGATCCAAGGACCTTCTGTGCCCATGGGGCCCATCTGACTTGCTCCCAGAAACCTGGAGGGCCCCCAAAGGAACTCCAAGGAGAGGGAAAGAAAGCAGCCCTTACCGCATTTGAATATCAATTCTTTGAGCTAGTTTCTTCATCTGTTCTTGGCAACATTTGAGCAAATCTACTTCCTGCAATGAGAAATGTCAGAAAGAGGAGCGTGGCTCAGAAACCCACACACCCACCGCCACGGCGTCCTGTGTCTCCCAGGCCAGGCCCCCGCCCCTCGCCTCTCCCTGTCCGCCCTGCACCCACGCGCTCAGCTGTCTGGACAGCCCCTCTCCTGCCTCAGCCCCCAGAGTAAGGGTGGCTGTGGAGCTTCCTCGCCCCTGGCCCTACTTCCTCTCGTTTTGAGCACTTCCTGGTTAAAAGTTAGTCCAACACTCGTCGATTATGTCATCATTGCGTTAAATAATGTATATGACATGACAGTGTGTGTGGCAGAGAGTAGGTGCTCAATAGTAATTAACTTTTATTAGTAGTGCCTTATTATTGGGGTGTTGATGGTGGGGGTGGTGATGGAGATAAAGAGACGGACGGGTCATATGACCCTGGCTCCTCCTCCTGCTTCTAAACTGCAGCTCAGATCCCCCCACAACGTGGTCTGAGCCCTAACTTTGCCTGGAGTAGCACTTCTCAGAGACCCTGGCCAGAAGCTTCCCTCCTTCCGCAGACCAGGCCGTGCTTTACCTGGATAAGGTTTTTCTCTACGTTGTCATGGACCAAATCAATCCCGATCCTCTTCTCTCGTTGGTACAGACACTCCAGGGCCACCTGGCGGGACAGCGAGAAGGGCTGTGTCCCCCTGCCTCTACGCGTAGCCCTGGGTGGGGCTGACTCGAGGTCTGCAGCAAGCCTGGCTGCTTGGGGTGGGGGTGGGGGCTCACCACTGTGCCTTTGGGTGGGCTTCTCCCTCCCCCTCCCCCGCAGAGGGTGCTGTGGGAAGCTACCACCAAGGCATTCAGGGTCCCGGGTAGATAACGGATAAAGGCGTGTCCTCAGAATAGGCCGTGTTTAGATTTCTGGTGGCTGTTGCCACCACGAATGAATGGAGGTAACACTAATATCCCCTCCAATCGCCTCCACGAGCTGCCCAAGCCTCTCCAACCTATAATAGCAGGGCCAACCCCACTGACACTTCAGTGCAGTCCACCCTCAAGTCGCCACAGGCTGGGTGGACACAGGGGGGATGGGAGGGTGACAGTGGTTGGCGGAATGGAGGACAGGTCCTCTTGCGTCCACAATCTCTGGCCCAGCCTTCTCCCGGTGGCAAAACTGCGGGGGGTCAGTGGCAGGACTTGGCAGTAAAAGGCTGAACCCAGAGGATCCCCAGGGGAGCGCGTGCCCCCCCCATGCTGGCACAGAGAAACACCACTAGGTGGCAGCAAGCCCCACGGCACAAGGGAGGGCTGGGAAGAAGCAGAGAGACTTCTGACCTCCTGGCCCACACCAGTCACTGTGGGACCCCCTCGCCACCACCCCTCCCTTGCCCATTCATTAGAGGGGAGCTGGCGGCAATAATCGTGACGACGGACCATCGCTGTTTTCTTCCTTTTACTATAAAGTGCAAATGAAATACTCCTTGGGACATTTGTCTATTATTTTTATTATATAATACAGTATTAGAATCTTAAGAATAGTCTCATATAGTCAAAGTAGATTATACTGTAGAAGGTTTATATTTAGATATGGCTTCACTTAGAATAATCTTCAGACTAGTTTGCCACAGCTGATTTTTATTATGCAATCCGAGTAAGAAGCACAGCTCGACACGCATTCTGTACCCGCGCCTGTGATCTTGTTCTTAAGCTCATCTTATATAAAGATCCCTACCCCAACCAACCCCTTATGCAGAGAAATTCTAGAATCACGATGAATAGTCAGCACATCCAGAAATAGGATGTGTGTGGCAAACTCAGTTGAAGGCCCCTGCGCTCGGGGGTCCTGGAATCACCCAGGTGCATTTTGTTAGCACACTTCCTAACCTGTTGTCACCTGGGACTTGCCCAGGTGAGTAGTCAGAGACTGGCTGGCTTCAAGGTTTCCTAGCAAAAGGAGGCTCCCATTACTCATGCAGCCCTGCCGATATCTGCTTTAGTTACTAGAGTTCAGTATAGGCTTGGAGAGTTTCTACAGCTTTAAGGGGGGGGGGGCCTAAAAGGAGTGATTCTGTCCCACCTACCCCCATTTCATAGGTGAAGAGGTTGAAGATCAGAGGGAGGAGAGGAATGATCCTCTCAGAGTCACAGGGTTATCCAGTTCTTGTGTCCTGTGACCCAATTTAAGGGGTGCCCAGATCATGAGCAGCGGTGGGAAGGTGCGTCAGCACAGACAGAGGAGGCTGTGGGAGGGTGCGTCAGGCAGACACAGAAATGGCTCGGGGGGCTCACAGATGGAGGAACCAAAGCCCCTCCTCCAAAGTCCCCCTGGTTCTAGGAGTGTCCTAGGTGTGCTCACAGAATTCCCCAAAGAGAAAATGGACAGAGGTCACAGGGACACTGGGCGCTGCAAGTCTCTGCCACGTTCCCAAGTGGTGGGAGCCGAGGCCGAAATGCAGGGGAAGTCCACCGGTGGAGGACCTTTCTTCCCCTAAGGGGAGGACGTTCCTGTGGAAGGAGAGACTGAGACTCCGAGGGCACGAGACAGCACCGAAGGGGAATTGGCAGGGGGCAGGATTTGGATACAGCCATGAGAATGGTGATCCCTGACAGGAGGGGCGGTGGGATTAATATATTCGTCATTGAGTCCCTGGCTGAGTACAGTGATATACTTTCCGAGCTCCAACAACCAGTGTGTGCAAGTCTTTCTTTCACGAGACAGGTTGGTGGTAGAGATGCCGCCCACAGGGGTCACCGAACCGTTTTGTAAAGGTTTTCTTCTGTAAAGGGCCAGGTGAGTCAGTCTTTGCCCCTTCGAGGCCAGACAGCCGCGGCGGCCAGGATGAACTACGTCACCGCAGCAGAGCAAGGCAGCCACAATCGTGGGCACAATCGTGTTCCAACAAAGTTTTATTCAAAGCTTTATTCACAAAAGCAGTCGGGGGCCGGGGGACCGCCTGGGCTCCGGGACACCGCGAGCCTCTTCTCCACACCAACAGATCTTGAAGACCGAAAAGGAACTTAGCGGCGCAGAGGGAGAATTTGGGACCTTCTAGGATGAGGTGGGGGGTGATAGAAAAGACCGTACGTGTGCACACTCTGGGCTCCGGAGTCTGAGGCGCAGCCCTGGGGATGGACAGAGGGGCAGGACGGAAGTCCCCCGCTCCCAGCCCCTGGGAATGTCGGGGCCACGTGTGAACAGGCGAGCAGGGTTTCCCGACAGGCCGGGGAGGCGAAGGCAGCGGCCGAGACAGCCAATAGCTTGGATGCTGCCACGGGCGCCTGAGAAGCAGTTCTGTCCACGTTCTCTCGGGGGGGTTCCTTGGGGTGCAGGGCACCCCCTCCACAGTGGTCACAGCGGGGCTAAGTCTCTGGGCACCTGGAGGCGGCCTGGTCTGACGAGGCCCAGCTCCGGCTGGAGCAGGCGTGGCCGCAACATCAGGGTCCAGGTCCACACCTGCTCCGGAGAGCCGGGCCTCGCCGTGTGGCCTCGCCGTGTGGCCTCGCCGTGTGGCCTCACCATGTAGCCTCGCCGTGTGGCCTCGCCGTGTGGCCTCACCATGTGGCCTCACCGTGTGGGGCGCCACCAGCTCCCTGCTGCCTCGCCAGAGAAGGCTGGTTCTACCCCAGACACAGCCATGGGGACCAGTGGGCGCTTGCAGCTCCTCATGGCCAGGGCGCTCCGGTGAGTTCTGGCAAAGGGCTAGACATGGACTCACACGATGGACCCTCAGGAAAACTGCAATGCCCGGATGAAAGGGGACGTCAGCGCCAGCCGCCTCTGCCCTGCCCCACCTCCTGCCTCAGGTGAGAACAGCAAAGTGCTTTCCGAAAGTCCCAGCCGCAACGTGGAATGTGAAACCCCCTGGCCCAGGGACGGGCGCCTGGGGCCTCCGGCCTCCTCTGTGGCCTGCTCTGCTTCCTCTAACGCTGCCTGATGACAGAAACACAAATTCCTGGGCGACCGAGCCTGTGGCATCCAGCACCGTGGACAGGAAGCCACATGTGGTCTCAGCTTGTGCGGGCCACACAGACATCCCGCCCCATCCTGTCCCACCCTGCCCACTGTGCCTTGAACACGGTGACCAGGCAGGCAAAGCCCTGCTTAGCCGGTGCCCACATTCTGGGGGTGGGGGGTGGGGGAGGGGAGACACCACCAATGAGTACACGTGAATTATAGAGTGGCCACACACGCAGCCCTGCACACGTGTGCACACGCACACCACGTGTCCTGTCTGAGCAAACCCCCACAATGCCCGCAAAGCCAAGGAGAAAGGAAGCCTCACTCCGTTCCCAGCCTGGTGATTCCACTGGAATTATCCCGAATGGACCGCGATGCTATTTTTTTTTACCTCAAACACACGGCATCGTGGGCAACGCAGCTGACACCGGCTGCAACGCCCGTCGCCCTGAACCTGACCTCAGGGAAGCGGAGCTCCGGGCACCCCGCGCGCACCCCGCGCGCACCCCGCGCTCACCTGCAAGGGACAGTTCACCTCCTCGGCCGCGCACTCCAGCCGCCGCTTGACGGTCTCCAGGTTGTGGCCCTCGCTGGTCAGCCGCTCCAGCTCGTAGTTCAGCTCCGACTTCCAGAAGCCGATGTCGGACAGCCGCTGGCCCAGGTTCCGGGTGGTGCCCTCCTGCATCTGGCGCGTCAGCTGCTCCTTCTCCTGCATGAGCCGCATGGAGTCGCCGGTCAGCCGGCTGCACCACTTCCGGGAGGCCTCGGCCCCGCAGATCTGCAGCTGGCTGGACCGCTCCCAGTCGCGGGGGCTGTAGCGACAGAAGAGCGCCGAGCGGAGGGCCGGCAGGATGGGGGGCGGCCTGAGCGCGCTGCGGCACGTGGCCGCCGTGTCCGGGCAGGCCTGGGCGTCCGAGATCCTGTAGAAGAGGCTGGGCCTCCAGCAGCTGAGCTGGCGGTGTCCGGGCAGGTGGTAGAGCTGACAGCATTCCTGGACCACCGGGCCCCGCGGCGCGGGGTGCAGCTGGGCCAAGTCACAGGTTTTCTTGGGGGCACAGTAGCTGGCGGTCTGAGTGGTTCCCAGAAACTCCATCCTCCCCCATCAGCTCCACTGAGCTTTGGCAAACTTTGCCCCAGGGGGTGAGGCCTGGAGGGAGGGGAAGGCACTTCTCCTGGGCCCTGGCTGGGCCTCTATGACTCCGCACTGGCATCATAAAGCCTGGGGAGCAGGACTTCCTGGCGGGGCTCTCCCCAAGGCGTTTCTCCCCCAGGAACGACATGAATACATCTCAGGAGTGTTGACTTAAGTGACAGCGGCTCCAGGGGCTGCTGGTGGGAGTGGGGCGTGGGGGATTGGTTGCCAAGGAGCAAGAGAGAACTTGGGGACAGCCATAGACTTGCTTTCTTTCTCCATAGTGGTTGGGGTTACAAGAGGTGGGCAAAACCCACAGAACTCCCGGCTAGAACCGTGGGTCTTCGTTATTTGTAAATGACACCTCAATGAATCTCGCCTTCATGATGGTGGGGGCAGAGGCCATGAGCACCCCTTGATCTAGTTCGCTCCCCGTGGGGACCCAGCATCCAGACCACCACCGAATGAATGTGTGCACACCCAGAATGAGAGTGTTCTGGTCCCAGATTAAATATTCAATTCTTTCCTCTGTACCAGTATTTTTATCCCACTAAGAAACTTCTCCACTTTCCTCACTGGCAGGACTGGCCACAAACTCTCCAAGTATGGAAGAGGAGAACTTGGGCTTTTAAAATGGGGAAGAGAAGACTGTAACCTTCAGCCAGCCCCGTCACCAAGAAACGGGCCGAACAGAATCAGGGTGTTTGCTCAATACTAAGCGTTCACGATGAGGCGCCGCTGTGAGCAATAGCAAAGGCACACAAGAACTTAAAATGTTCTCATCACCCCCCAGAACCTTCCAGTTTCCCTAGATTAAATACAGATAGAACTACTGTGGCCAGATTTCTATATTTTTCCAGAGATAGTCTATGCATACGCAGGCAGACAGTGGCCACTGTGGTAAGACGGGAACATTTCCATCCCGGGAAGGGCCCGTGTGCGCTTCCCTGTCTGCAGCCCCACACACTCCATGACAAGGCTGTTGGAGTACATTCAGAGCGGGGAGGCCCTGACATGGAGGCCCTGACATGGAGGCCAGGACCTTGTCTGATTTTGCGTATCTTTACGGCCATAACACTCAGTAGTGCCTGGAACCAAGTAGGTTTGGGTTTGTTGAATGAAAAAATGGGGGGTGGGCTGGAGGAGTTGATGTATGCGTGGGTCGATTTTTGGATGGATCTATCACTTTAAAAAGTAATAGCACTTCAGATGCCATTAAATGGGAAAAGCAAATTCAAAATAGTTGAGCACAGTCCAACTAAAGTTCACCAAAAAGGGAAGAGTAAAACCTGCTAACTCAATTCCAAGGACTCAAGGAGTCCACTGAAACTTTAGACGTAAAAGCATGCAAAGGAACTTTCAGTGTGACTGTCAGGGGACTCCTTGGCAGTTCTTAATCAAGGGCAAGATGATGGAGCTCTCAAAGTTCATCCTATAGCAAGCACAGTCACAAGACCTACTGACCTGTAGTCCCGACACTCGCGCCAGAGTATAGCAGCCCCCCCCCAGCCAGTAGTTATAATCTGTGTAACTTACACTCTGTGACACCCAACCACAACGAGATCCCTGATGACATGTTTCTCAGGTTCTATCCCAGCCTTAAGCCAAGTGCAGACAGAGCCTGTGTCATGCTTCATTGTTTTCATGGCTGCATAGTACTCCCTGGTATGGGCAGGCTATATTTCGTTTATCCATCCACTGACAGACATTTGGTTTTTTCCCCTTCTTGTGAATTATGAAGATTACTGCTGTGAACATTCAAGGGCAAGCTTTGGCATGGGCTTGGTTTTTAATTTCTCTTGAATATATAATTGGGGTGGAAATGCTAGTTCCTACGGTAATTCTGTGTAGGATTGTGTGGTGTTAGAGTACAATGTATTAGGTTTACTCCTTATTCTAATAACTGTAGTTTCATACAGTGCAGTTGGTTCAGCGAACCCCTCGCTACGCATCAGCCCTGACCTATCCAAGCTTGGTCCCAACAGACGGAAATGAGCGATGCTTTCTTTGGGTGCAGATCCCATCTCTCGGGGTGCTTCTCGTCTCTGGTACAGACAGCCAGTCAAGACTAACGGGAGAGCCAAGCCGTGGCATGCAGATGAATGCCAATACGTGTCCCTTCCGGTCTGCGCTCTGTGTGTCCACTCACAGTGACAATGTCTAGGGTGTCAACCTGCAAGTTATGGTGGCGCCTGCGAGCTGTGATGATTTTGCTTGGAAATGACTTCAGTCCCATCCTGGAGTCACTATCTTTCACATTGAAACATAATTCTTTGCATGTAAATTGTACCAAAATTGAAATGAAAACCCAGGAACTCAATGATCCCTGGAGATGTACCTGAGCATGTCAGAAAAATGGTCAGCTCTGGACCTCGCCACACTTGGCCCATCACAGCCTTCTATCCCCCCAGCCGCCACCCCCTTCACCATTGCACTTCTTTCCATCTCTTATAATCCACGCAGAAGGAAAGCTAACTGTTTCTGACATCTCTGTGGTGATGGAGGGGTTGGAGGATGGCAGAGTCCTCACCCCACCTTGGTTTCCAGTCCCCACTCCACCTTAGTGCCAGACTTTGGAGGTTCCAAGCCCAGCAAATTCTACCTGGACCAGCTGTTTTGAGCTGGCTGGCATCTCTCAGTGCAAAGGCTCAGTGCCACTGCTGCCATTTGAGGGGAGACCCCTTGTCTGCAGAAGACAGCCAGACTGGCTGGTGTCCCAGGAGTGGCGGGGTCTGCTAAACGCTGTGACTGCCCCACCCCCACCCCACCAGGCAAAGCAGCAAGCTTTCCTGGGACGCCCCCTGTGGGTGGGCAGGGATCTTTGTCCTGTGCCTTCCTCACAGCCAAAACGTTTCTTAGAAAACCACCAAAATAGGGACACACAGAAGAAAGATCTGAGAAAAAGCCAGAAGGAAGCTCTTTCCCATTTAGCATCCAGGATCATGCACACACAAAACAGAATCTTCCAATAAAACCTTGATTCCCCTGCTCTGCCTTTCAGCAGGTATCATTTTTGGTGCTTCAAGCCCTGGTCCTGGCAGGTGATCATTGACCCCCAAAACCCACCCACATACATGCACGTAGATATGTGCTCATTGCCAAGGTTAATGGAGCCATGAGAAAAAGTGGAGCAGGATGACTAAAGAGATCACAGAACACCCATTCATGAAATACGCTGCAGCCTTGGAAGTGAAGTCTGTATTTGCTGGTAAGAAAAGCTTTCAAACGCAGGGAAGGTGACGAGGCTGTGAACAGCCTGTGTGGCATGACATTGCCCACAGGCGTGGGAGGCGATGCGCAGTGCTTGCTGGGGGGTCATCTTCCCACAGGGGCAGATGTCTGTGGGGATGGGGCACACAGGGAGACTGGCTTTTTGATGAAGCCTTCCACCCTTAATACATATGCATATATCTTCCTTCAAAAGAATGAGTAAGAATTAGCATATATTACATACAGGTGTTCTAAGTTTGCTCCTCACACTTCTGGAGGCTGGCAGTCGGAGGTCGGGGGCCAGCTGGGTTGGGTCCTGGCAGGATTTTTTTGCTGGCTTATAAAAGACCACTTCCCTTCTTTGGGGGGAAGGATGGTACACGAGCTGACTATCGAGTGTAGGGCGGTGTGTGTACATCAGTGAACCATGTCAATTGTATACATTTAATATCTGCTATTTATTGCCTATCAGTTACACCTGAACAAAGCTCTTTTTTAATGTATTTTTATTTATTTATGCTTAGAAGAACTGGAGGACAGGCCAGAGATGTCGAGGTGAGAGAATTCAGCAGAGACAGAGTGGGGAGCAGAACAGGCAAAGCACACTGCTGAGGGGAGCAGCGGGGAGACAGGAGAGGTCTGCCTCACCATATGTGGGGTTAGCTCCCTAGCAGGGGATTGAATTCAGGTTGAAACCATGGATAATAGTGTGACAGTGCTAAGACTTAACCCCTCCACTGCCAGGGAGACCCAACAAAGCTGTTTAAGAAACAAACTAATGGTTGCTAACACCTACCTAAGGCTGACATGTCCCAGGCACTTTAAAAACACTATTTTCCTCACGTTGTTTTTTTCTCCCCACAATAACCCTCTGAGGCTATTGTAAAATATTGCCATTTGCAGAGGAGGAAACTGAGACCTGAGGGGCACAAGTGTGTACCTGTTGTGGGGCGGTGGGGTACAGGAACAGAATGCAAAGGTTGGTGTTTAGAACACCGATGCCTTTAAGCAGCACACATCAGCTTCTCTACATTAAAGAACCAAGTCTTATTTTTTTCACTCAATTGTATGTGAAGTGCCTGGCGTTTATTTAGCTCTTTAGGAGATACTTTTGCTGGATTCGAGGGAAGAGGTAGAAAATTTTCAACTTCTAAACTTTATTTCCCCCACATTGCCTGACCATTTTGACGATATGTTGGGGAAGAGCGTCATCTACTGGTGGAATGCAGAACTGCAGACACCTCCAGGGTGCGACCCTGCCCGCCTGCACGCTGACACAGGTGTTTGAAGGCGCCTGTCCCGCTGACTCATCATCTAGTGTTAAGCATTTTGACCCAGGCTTTCATCTTGTTTCATCCACTAATGTGCATGTATTAAAGGGAATACATGCCTATGTATTCCCGCCTATGTCTCAGCCACCCACACCACCCACCCCATGCGTTGCACATTTTCTCTCTCCATGTTTTGCTTTGCACGAATTACATTATCTTATCCCAACAGAAATCTCATGGAACAAATGGCCTAACTGCCCCCCTTTTACAGAGGGACGAACTGTGGCAGGGTCATCGGTGACTAGTCCAATGTTCTTCAGTCCCTCGACACTGGATGTGGATTTGAACTTGGGTCTTCTGCTTTCAGAGCGTAAGGAGCCCGAAATCAGAGGCTGATTTCATCATCAGAAATCAGAACAGGTGATGCCCTGGCAGTTCAAGGAGAGGGTTGCTAAAACCCCCAACCTCATCCACCACAAACCCCTCACTGCCTCACTGCCTCGGAGGAAGCGTGTAGTGCCATCAGCAGGACCCCTGGAGAGTGTTTAAAACATGCTGCGATGCTGGGATTTATGAGAGATGTGTATTTGGCTTTTGTCCCAATCTGGCACAGAGCCCCTAAAACCCTTGGAATTTCCTAAAGGCTGAGAGGACTTAAAGCTTGCAAGGTGCTTCTTGTAGTGTTAATGGCCCCGCGGGAGGTTGGGAGCCAGTGAGGGAGGGGAGCCACCTGGGGACTGGAGAGTGGGAACCTTCAGTGGGTGCTTAAGGGAGCTGCCCGCCTTCTGGCCACCCCTTGCCAGTGCAGCTCTGGCTGTTCTGCAGCCTTTTACGATACCTTTCTGAGCTATGGTTTATCCTATGATAAACCAGCAATGAAGAAGAAAATTTCTCTAAGTTTCCCTGAGTGTTCTGAGCTGCTCCAGCAATTTAATTGAGACCCAGGAGGACATGTGGGAACTTCTGATTCATCATCAGAAATCAGAACAGATGATGCCCTGGCAGTTCAAGGAGAGGGTTGCTAAAACCCCCAACCTGTAGTCAGAAGGTGGGACGCAGAGGTGACAGCCAGGTTCGTCATCAGCAGTGGGAGGAAGACAGACTTGTGACTGAGCCCTAACTTGTGGGATCAGACACCAAGTCCGCGCAGACTTGGGGTGAAGTTGGTGTAAAGCCAGGGTCAGAGCCTTGTTTGTTGGGGTGGGGGACACAGCCCCAAACCTTGGGAATTGGGATCAGCACCTCATCACAGGCCTAAGACCCATGCCGATTCCGACTTAAGGGGAGTGGGGGAGGAAGACCAGGGCCTAAAATTCCCTGGGTGGTTATATAAGGGGTGGGGGGCCAGGACGCCTGTGGGGGGTGGGGGGGTGAGACGCAAGGTGTACCATACTGCTCATCTAGGTTTAAGTTCTAGTCCTTCAGAAGTAGAAACAAGTTTTGAAAATTTAACAGATTTTGTTTAGGGCGGAGCGACTTCAGGTGTCTGGGAAACTTATCAGGAGGTTCAGTTCCTCTATGTTCCTTCTCCCCACCCCAGTCGCCCCCATTATTAGCATCTTGCACACTTCTAGTACACTCGTTATAAGTGGAAAACCAATAATGATAATTATTAAGAAAACTGGCAGTTTACATCAGGGCTCGCGCTTAGTGGTGTCCAGTCTGGGCCTGCACAAAGATGGAACAGGTCTCCTCACAGCCTCCTTCAGAGTAGTTTCGTGGCCCCACACTCGTCTCCATCCATCCCTCCTCTCCTCCCTCCCTCCTCTCCTCTGCAACCTCTCATCATTGATCTGGCCACTCCTTCTAGTTTTAGACTCATTTTTAATCATAAAAAAAAATCTAGCTATTTAAATCTATGGCCCTTAGCTAGGTTTTCAACTTTAAACAATCCTTGTTTAATTTTGAGGTCTGGGTCACTGACTCCTTTAATCAGAGGAGCTGAAATAAACATTTTAAATTGAAAATCTGTTGTTTCAAACTCACACAAGTAAGGATGTGTAAATAAACTTTCAGATGCTGGGTTTTTTACATCTGTAGCATGCATCCTTCCAAGGTTATTAAAACAGGAACTTGCACCCAGACTGCTGAGACACCCAGCGTTCAGGAAAAAACAGCAGGGTCCACTGGCTTCCGTGAGGTGATGCTGAGAGTCCACACTTAGGGGGACCGGGTGTTGGGGGCCAGACCAGGGCCAGAAGATGCTTCTGAGTGAGTAACTGCGTGGGGCTGAAACCTAGTTCCCTGACAGGCAGCAAGAAAAGAGGCTGGAGAGAAAATGGGTCAGAGGCCACGTGGAACAGCAGTGACACGGTTTGATTTGCGTGGAGACGCGCGACGGGAAGCCACGTGAGCAGCGGGACCCAGTCCCTGCCCTCTGCCCTCTGGCTCTGCTGTTCTTCCAGATACAAAATGGCCGCACCAGGTGTAAATGGCAGAGAGCGCAGGCTCTGGAGCCAGACAGGTCCATCAGTTTCTCTTGCTATTTGCTACCTGACCTTGGAATCAGTTTAACCATCTGGAATGTCAGATTCCTCAAAGATAGAGATAGGACCCAGGGGACAGAACCGTCCAAGGGCAGAAGTTAGTGCAGATTCTTGGCAAACAGTAAGTGGTCACGAGTGCTGACAGTAACTGATTGGAGGCTGTTTGATAAATGAGCTGCTGCAGGCTTAGTGCCTAAGGCCAGGCGAAGTGTGTGCCACACCTGGATCAATACCACCTGGTAGTGTTGGGGAAAGGGTGTCCTGGACAAACTCCACAACAGGTTTTATGGACTCGAGAGATCCAAGACAACAAGGACTGCGAGCCCCACAATGTCGCCACCACCTGAGGGAGTGAACCTGATAATCAGGGGGAGGGGCGGGGGCATAGAGAAAGGGACTATGGGACAGTCTACCGGAAGTTGGCCCGGCCTGTTCAAATTCATCAGTGATGAAGGAAGAGGGCGAGGGGCACAGGAAGGCTGTTCTGAATTACAGGAGGCTGAGGCGGAACCAAGGGCCAGGTGGGACTCCATCGATCCAGGATTAGAAATTGTCTTCAATTTGAGACGACTAGCAAATTTACATAATCACGTGCACATTAGTCAACTGCATCAGCATTCAATGTCTTAGGTATGGTAAGAATGGTGTTAAGGTGATGTAGGACGTCTCTGTCCCTGGAGCTAACGAATTTAGGATCTCTAGAGGTCACTGTTGATGGGAACAGAAGTACAACAGTGTCGTCGTCCCAGCCGGAGGCTCGCGCGCGCGCACGCCCTCCACATCCCGAGACTTATTTCACACGACTGGAGCGGCAGATCGGGCGCCACCGGGCGGAAATACGCAAGCGCGGGTTCCGGTGCCTGCGTCGGCGCCAAAGCGGCAGGATGGAGGAGGTGCCTCAGGGTGAGCGTGCGGAGGGGCATGGGTGGTGGGGCTGAAGAGAGAGAAGCTGTTCTAACTGTGACCCTGGTCCCGCGCAGGCTGTCCCGGAACCGGCACCACCCAGGCTGGCCGCGGGGCCTCGTGCCAGGGATGCCCCAACCAGAGGTTATGCGCTTCGGGAGCCGGCGCCGCTCCAGATCCGGGTAGGGAAGGGGCGGGGCCTGGACGGGAAGTGGAAGGCGCGGGCCCGGAAGAGGCGGGCGTGGATGGGATGGAGGGGAAGTGGAGCTTGGGGGCGGGGCTTGGGAAGTCCGATGGGAGGATGGGAGGGGCCTGCTGTTTGAGTGACAGTGGTCGGGAAGGAGCCCCCTCCAGAGGGAGTAAGATCCACGTTTTGAAATCCAGGAACTCAGCCTTAAATCCTGACTCCGCGAACTACTTTCTTTGGACAAAATTGCCTTCCTTATGAGGAGAGATTCCAGTTCGTTCAGCAGAAACGTGTGTGATCACCTCCTAGGCACAGAGCCCTGTAATGAGACGCCACACTGGCGGTTAGGCTAGTAGGGAAGCTCCACAATAAACAGGCAGATAAATCCCAGTGCAAGTACCGAGAATGATAAATTGTGAGGACCGGGGAATAGGGGGTCAGGTTCTGGGGACCTGCTATAAAAAGCCGAAGGAAACTGGAAAATGAATTTGGAAAGCGTTCAGAGAGACTTAGAATTGATTCCTTGGTCCACTGCAAATAGTGTGACCTTGAGCAAAAGTCAGCCTCTGACCCTCCTAGTGTTGTTCGAAGGAGGTGTAAGTCGTGATAGTAGCTTCAACAGGGAGTCTCAAGCTCAGCACCCTGGACTTCGGGACCGGGGCATTCTCTGTTGGGAAGACTGATGTTGCTGGACATTTAGCAGCATCATTAGCCTCAGCCCAGTACATGCCATCGCCCCTTTGGTTCTTGTAACAACGAAAAATGTCCCCACGTGTTGGCAGAGATCCCCCGGCAGATTTTGTCCCCCAGCTGGGGCCCGTTACTCCGTGTGAAGCCCTGTGTGGAGTTGGCAGTCCAGTGTCCACTTCCGAGTCCCCACCCCATGGAACTGGTGTCCTGATGGTGGCGGAAACCACAAAGGAGGAGGTTCCAGATGTCAGAACCTCCTTGTTTCCTTGCGGCACTCATCGCCACCACTGGCCTGGTGGCCCGGTGGTTCACCCAGGATCCTGTGAAACATCCGTCAGGAAGTTAGTTCCTTCTGCCCTGTGTGAAGAGTGGCATCTAAGATCATCAGGGATTTCATCACCTGAACTGCTTTCTTTGCAGCCGTAGAGGAAATCAAGGAGAAGATGAAGAGCGTGAAGCACATCATCTTGGTGTTGTCTGGGAAAGGCGGTGTTGGCAAAAGCACATTCAGCGCCCACCTGGCCCATGCCTTGGCGGAGGATGAAAACACGCAGGTGGGGCCTTAGGGGAGCACAGAACCGGTTCCTTCAGCGTGAGGGTGCATGCTGACTTGCTGAAAACTGGTGACTGAAATTGAGTTGGGCTGGCCGCTTGGGAGTCCAGATCCCGACAGAGAGGATAGGGCAGACTTAGCCAGGCAAGAAGTGAGGTGTTGGATCAGCTTCTGCAGTAGTGGAAGTAGAAAGCAGGTGTCCTTTCTCTCGGCGTATTCCCTGTGGAGAGGCGATGCTGAATTTGCAGCCCGCTCAGAGGCAGTGCCACAGCTGAAGATGCACTGGTCGGTTATGTGTTCTGGTGGCCAGCAACACTCCTGCCACTGGAGTGGCAAGTTTGCATGGACAGTTAGCTGGCCAAGAAATTCTCAGGTCGTCACTGTGGCCAGAATAATCTTTGCTTTAAGAAGCTCCCTAGATACAGGCTTGGGCCAGGCTGGTTGCAAAGCACATCTCATGAGTAGGGGTGACTGCTGGTGCGTGGCTCCCCCAGTCCCTGGTGACACGGGCTCTGCAGCACAGTGAAGAGAGGCCGTCGTCTGGTGTGGAAAGGCGCTGGGTGAGCCGGTTGCTCGCTGCCGGTCAAGCTTACGCCGGTCTGCCCTCAGGACAGGGTTCCTTCCAGCCACCTACTCACAAGGGTGGAAACCTCACGGTCTCTGCTGTCCACATGACTGTCGCAGGCAGGTCTGACAGCTCTATTGTATGGGGCCTTGACTCATGTGGGAGCAGAATTGGAGGACACCCGAGTTAACCTCAGGCTGGCTAGGAGGTGCAGGCGGGTTGTGGTGAAGGCAGAAGGATCCTTTGTACGGAAGTTTGAGCTGTGAGCCGTCCGCACTCACAGGCCATGTGTTTGCTGTCAAACACCAGTGTCCATAAATGACCAGGTGATCTTGCCATGGGGCAGACTGTACCACTGAAAGGTCCACACATGGCTTCGGACTGCAGTGCTGGACCTTGATCATGCCACCTTGGGCCTGCAGACTTGAGCTGGAAGGTGCTGGCCTTTCCGCACACACTTGTTTCATGGAGCAGAAGCCCAGGCAGATGGGGCTGAGGGAGAGGATGCAGCTGTAGAGTGACATGTCCAGGAGCGCTAAGAATTAGGGTTCCAGTCTACTTCCCGTGACCTCTGCTTAAGAGGAAGCTTGGGGTGCTGCGTAAAGGGAAGCTTTGATCCCAACAGCCCTGTAGCTGCTTCCCTCCACCACCACTTCAGGCCAGGGCAGGTGCAGTAGGGTTTCTTCCCATCGGGCTTCGAGCACCTTCCGCAGAGACCCTGCTGCAGATCTGTGCAGGCAGGCTGCTCTCAGCGAGGGCTCTCTGACAGTAGGCGGATGGGGCTGGCTTGGGACAGGGCCGGCGGGAAGCTGGGCCTCCTGTTCAGGAGCCACCATGGCAGCAGCTACACGCGACCCATTTTCTGCATCATTTCACTGTATTTACCCACTTGGCGTGAGGACCTGTAATTCCTCAGAAAGAAACGGATCATGTTTTCTGAAGAGAGCACAGGGTGACTGGAGACATGAGGATTTGACAGACATCTCGGACTGCAATGATGGTTTCATTTCCCAAAGCCTGAGATATTGATGAGTCATTAGCAACCCTCACCCCTAAGTATCCAGAGGAGAGTGGACTGGTCACCCGGTGGAGCGTGTCCTGTTGCACTGTCCTTGTGCTCCAGCAGAGGGCGCGTGGAGCAGCGGCACCAGGCTGAGCCTGAGGGAGGCTCCAGAGATCTGGGGACGCAGGGAGCTGAGGTCTGGGGAGAGGCTTGAAGAGATGCGCAAAGCAAATTTGGGGCGAGCTAAAACATTACCCAAAAGTACTGCCCTTTGGCTGCTGGACGTTGGAACTTTCAAGGTGAACACTGGCCATACACCGGCCAACTCAGCCCCTCGGGTCAGCGGGGAAAGCAGGTGCTGGGGCGCAGCGGTCATCAGAGGATCAGCAGAGAGCTCTCCTACATCTCTTTTTGTTGTCCGTGTTTTGGGAGTTGGCTGGACTGCGCTGACCTTCCAGACACGGGTGGGACCGCTGCTGGAGGGTGTGCTCGGCCCTGCCCCAGGGCCTGTGGGAGGAGGCCTTGGTCTGCCCCTCCGCGCCCCTTGCTCACTGACCCATTCCACGGGCCTCTGTGTGTCCACTTTCCCTCTGCCACCTCCCCCAGGCTCACAGTAAGGACTGAGTTGGTGGTGACGGCCTGATTCCCCAGGGAACCTGGCACCGGTGCCCACAGCCCCCCCAATGCGAGGCCAGATTCGGGTGGGGTTGGGCTCTGCCAGGCTCGCCCAGGGGTTTCGGACTGCGCCTGCACGGCCTGCCAATGAGTGTCGGCTCTCGCCCCAGAGCGCGGCTGGAGCCACTGGCCCGTTTTCTGCCTTTCTCACCCCTCCGCCTCCTTCCCCCAGCCCCGTGCTCCCGTCCTCACACCCTGCTCTGCCTTCTTGCCCCCAGGTCGCGCTCCTGGACGTGGATATATGCGGGCCGTCCATTCCCAAGATAATGGGGCTGGAAGGAGAGCAGGTAGGCGCCCTCGCCCTGCCGCCGGGCCCCGGGGTCTCAGCCTGCCCCTCACGCGAGCACGGACCAGTTTTCCTCCACCCCCTGTCTGACAAGGGCGTGCTGGCGCGGGAGGACGTCAAGGCTCAGCCAGCCCCGTGGGAAGTGTCCCCGCGCAGGCTGCCAGGTGCAGACGTCAGACGCGGCCGCAGCTGGCTGGGAGGGCTGGCAGGCGGCGAGGCCGCTCTGCTGGGAGCAAGGAAGGTTTCTGCCCTGTGGCCGCTCCTGGGGAACCGAGACTGCGGGCAGTGACGTCGTGGGGACAGGGCCACAGAGTCCGTGTTGCCCTGGGATCTCCCCACCTTCCCCCCAAGAGTGGGGGCAAAAAGCAGTTCCAAATCGAGTCCCCCAAGGGTAGTTTACTGAAGCTGGGCTGCGGGGCTCGGCCGCTCCGGGGCACGGGGTTGGGAGCAGTGGTGCCACCCGTGGTTGGGGCAGAGGACAAGTCACAGGTAATAAAGCAGTGCGGGGGCAGGGAGGGGTGCTCAGGGTACCTGTTTCAGAGAGCCTGCCAAAGGGCCCCCCAGGGCCAGGGCAGTGTCCCGAAGCAGGAGTGTCCACTTGCAGAAACTGAGACTTGAATGGTGACATGAAATAAGAGTTGGCCTGTCTCCTTCTGGCTGTTGGGTCGGCACCAGCGACTTAGACAGCCGGCGTAACTGGGAGTGAGCGGGTCTCTGAGAAGCAGCGAGTTTCACAGTGAGGGGAGCAGAGCTGCCCCCGGCCACTGGTGAACCTACCAGAAGGAACGAGCCCAAATCCTGGGCGCCAGTGACGCCCCTGCCAGGCCTGCCCTGCCTCGGCCTCGCTGCGTCCTCGGCGAGTCCCTTCCTTCGGCTCCTGCCGGGGAGCCTCCGTGCCCACACCTACTTGCACGTTCTCCACAGCCGCCATCCCACCCTCACGTACCACGGACCCAGAGTTTTGTTGTCTGAGGTGACTTGTTTCTGTGCGAGGTATTGTGTTTCCCTGACTAGATGGCTAAGCAGTCTCGAAACAGCCCTGCTTCCGGGAAGGTGCTGGGGGCTAATGGTGCCTCCCTTGCTCACACCCCCCCAGCCACTCACCCCCTATTAAGAACTTGGCACAGGAGGTGATGCACTGTGTTTGATAAGCGGTGGCATCCGCGTGACAAATGTGCTTGCTCGTTGATGCAGGTTCACCAGAGTGGCTCGGGCTGGTCCCCTGTGGTGAGTGTCTGCTCCTGTTACTTCCGGGCCGGGGCGGGGGCGTGTGTGCCAGACGTGGCGAGGCAGGCCGGCTGCTGCGGCCACCCGCTCATCAGCACAGGGACTACAGTTGAGGCTGGAGGTGGGTGGGCTTCGTGTGAGGGGTGGGCAGCAACTGGATTCAGTTTGTAGTGCTCCCCGCTGTTGCAGTAGTGAAAGTGGGTGCCCGGATTCCAGTAAAACCACGGCCACTGACGTGGGCAGGCTTCGGCCGGGGCCAGGCTGCGGTGGTTTTCCTTCACTTCAGCCAGCTACCGCCACGCAGCGCAGGGCCGCCCGGGCCTCATCCACGCTCCCAGTAGTGCGGCCCTTTTCCTCTTTCTCAAAAGTGATTTGAGGGTTCTGAGTGAATAGGAGCTGAGCTCACGTGCTAATTCTGTCCCCAGCTGGCTTTTCAGCCCGAACTCAGAAGGCATAGGGGCATGTGCCGTGCCGTGACTCAAAGTAAAGCACTTCTTGCTTCGTCCTCTCCAGTTCCTGGAAGACAACCTGGGGGTGATGTCGGTGGGGTTCTTGCTGGGCAGTCCTGACGACGCCGTCATCTGGAGGGGACCAAAGAAGAATGGTTTGTGCTTCTCTGCTGTCTGCCTCCCACCACTCCCGAGGGCAGCCCCATTGCGGGTCCCCACGCAGCCGTCCCGTCAGGGGCAGCTCTCACCTCTGGGCTTTCCAGCCTCACCCGACGTCTGCACTTTGGCCTCCGCCGGCTAAAGACAGCTGCTAGAATTCCTGGCTCCCACGTGTCACTAGGATCTGCAACAGGCTTCTCTCTCCTTAAGACCTGTGTAACCCTGAAGTTTCCCCGTGTCTGGTTTTGTCGTGAGAGGCTTGTGAGGGGCATCCAGGCCCGTGGGCTGGCATCTGTCCCGGAGGGAGCCTCTTGAGGGGTGGGCTGTGCTGGCCATCATAGGGTATGGGCAGCCCCGGCTCCTCTGGGGGCCAGGAGCCAGGCGCAGTCCGCCCCGCCATGACATCCAGGAATGCCGACTGCCAGGCCGAGATTCAGCGCGCAGCTCAGGGCCCCGGACATCAACGCGGTGCTTCTGTGAGAGTGTGACCAAGCAGCAGGCCCGTGGTCCTCTCTACAGGCATGATCAAGCAGTTCCTCCGAGACGTGGACTGGGGGGAGGTCGACTACCTCATCATTGACACGCCGCCTGGAACGTCGGATGAGCACCTGTCGGTGGTCCAGTACCTGACGGTCGCCCGCATCGACGGGGCGGTGATCATCACCACGCCTCAGGTGAGGGGTGCGGGTGGCCGGGCCTGCCGGGAGGCTTCTCTCGGGTTCACAACCGGGCAGGTCTTCAGGAACCTTGGGCCTCCCGTACCACGACGAGTAAGCATTCCACAACATTTTTGGCCCACAGATTAAATGGTGGTGGTCAGACTTGCCCTCTTGATTTCCCTCCACAAAGCCAGTGAGCTTTTTGGCACTGCTGTGATTTCGATGGTCCTTTCTGGTCACGTCACAGTGACCATGCTCCGGTCGAGTTCCACACGGACAGGCCTTTCAGAACAGTTCAGGAACTCTGCCCACAGAACCGGCCTGGCTGTGGACAAGGCTGTGGTCCTCATCCTGTCTTTGGACTGCCCCGCGCCTCTGTCCAGTCACAGGCTATGCCGACCCCAGACTGAGGAGAGGGCACTGGCCTGAGTAGACCCCACAGCGCGGTGCTGAGGCCCCCACGATCCCCCATTGCTCAGCCCAGGAAGCCAGCAGCTGTGCTTTCTCCTCTTCAGGGTAGTCCCCACTCACAAGGGAAGGGGGCCTGGTTTCGCCTGCCTCTGAGTCAGTCACCCCGTCCTCAGGCCCATGCAGCGGGGCTGCGGGCAAGCAGGTGCAAACATGATGTCAGCATGTGACAGGCCCAGCAGCTCGCAAGGGTGCCTGGTGAGGGGGCGTGAGGGGTTCATGTCTCTCAGATCATGGTGCAAAAGGGTTCTGGGGGGAGGTGTGGAGGAGCAGGGCCTGCTGGCAGGGGTCCCTGGCCCGGGGTGGCAGTGGACAGGACATGGGTTTGCCCCTAGGAGAATACGGGTTTCTTGAGAAGTCGCCAGAGGTGCTATCCATGATAGACCCCAGAGAAACTTCCCCAAAGGAAAATGGTCTGTTTGGGAGCCCCGCGCTGATGCAGGGGCTCAGAGCAGGCGGGGCCCTCAGCACCTGCCGCTCACCTTGGCTGTGAACGTGGCGCTGTCCTAGAAGTCCACTAACAGCATGCTTGGCGCCAAGTGGCTTCTCCGTCACATTCTCTCTTCTACTGCGAGAGAAAGGAGCGTCCCCTTGGGTTCAGAGGAGCAGCCAGGGGGAGCCGCTAGGCGGCAGGTGGCCTCCTGACCAGGTCACGTCCAACAAGCACAGGCCTGTGTCAGGGACATGCAGGTGCGTGGGTGCAGAGACCAGGCCCCAGTGGGAGCTGTCCAGCCTTGGGCACTCAGAGCAGTGGCTGCGGGGAGCCCCAGACGTGTACTAACTGATGGCGCACTAACTGACGGCGGCGGCGGGGCAGCCAGACACGCAGTGAGACTGCACCAGCTCTCACGCCCAGTAAACTGAGTGGGCGTGACGAAGGGACCCGCCACGGCAACGTGCGTGTCTTTTTGTCCCTCACAAGTTTGTGCTGAGCATCACCTAGGTCAGGAGGTCAGGGAAGGGTCCCTGCGTGGCCACCCCTGGACTGTGCTCTGCGAGGCAAAAGCCCACGTCGCTCCTGAGGGGCAGCTGCCCCGGGGGGCTGCCCAGGAGGGTAGGCGGCCGTGACGCGGGCCGCCTGGGTGCAGGCGTGTCCCCCCGATTCGGAGAGCAGCCAAGTGGCCGGGGGGAGTCAGGCCACCTCCCTGTGCCCACGTTGTGCTTACGACTGTCTGCACGGGTCCAAGGCTTTGAGTCTGGCCCGTGCACGTGGTCTCGGAGCCGGCACACGTTTGCTGGGCGGTGGAAGCTTTACTGACATCGCCTACGCTTTGCAGAATCACCCCAAGTCTAGCTTGCAGAGTTACCCCCAGTCTAGCTTTGCTGTGCTTATTTCTTCCAAAGCTTTGCACGTCCAGGTCTTATTCTTTACCCCTTAATTCATCTCGAGGTAGGATTTTTGTAGGCGGAAGACAAGTGTGGCTCAGCTTCATGCTTGCTGGGACCGCCCGGTATCCCCAGCACCCTCTGTGGGCGAGCAGCCCCCAGGGTCATCCATGTGGGGTTTTGTGGGAGGTGAGCACCCCTAGAACAGAGCCGAGCAGTCGCCTCTCAAGAAGTGTTTACTGGATAAATGCTGTGCATCTCTGCGTCTTTATGAGGGGAACCCACCTGGGCGGCCTCCGCCCCCTCACCTTCGGTTCAACTCGGCGTCACCAGACTTCCTGGCCTTGACAGGAGGTGTCGCTCCAGGACGTCCGGAAGGAAATCAGCTTCTGCCGCAAGGTGAAGCTGCCCATCATCGGGGTGGTGGAGAACATGAGCGGCTTCGTCTGCCCCAAGTGCAAGGTGAGAGGCGCCAGCGCTCCCCGGCCCGGGGCGGCGCCAGCTGCAGCCTCCCGCGGCTGGCGCAGAGCGTCTTGGGGGCGTCGGTGTGGGAGTCGAAATAGCCTTTTAAAAGCCTGTTTGCGGTGTGGGCCTTCTCCGTCCCAGACAAAGTCACATTTCCTCCCTCTTCTGATGTGCCGCACAGAAAGAGTCTCAGATATTCCCGCCGACGACAGGGGGTGCGGAGGTGATGTGCCAGGATCTGAACGTCCCCCTCCTGGGCAAAGTGCCCCTGGACCCACACATAGGTGGGTGAGTGCGGGCGCCCTGATTCCTACCCTCGTGGCCAGGTAAAGGCTTGCCCCTCACCCAGCGCTCCAGGGCACGGCTGGGCGGCGCGGAGCTCTGGCCAGTGCAGAGGAGCGCGCACGTGAGCCAGGGGAGCTGGCGGGCCTCAGCCGGGGGCAGGGGGCGGAGGGGGAGCATGGCCCGGGGCCCTCGAGGCAGGGGTGGTCAGCAAGCGCCATCTTGCACGGAGTGAGGTTTGGAGGTGAAGGCCATGGGCAGAATCGGCCTCAAAATCCGCCGAGTGAGGTGCCGCAGCACAGCCCGTGTTCAGTGCCGACAGCCTCGTTTCTCGGGGCACCGGGTGATGTCACTGGCCTCCCTTTGGGGACCACGTGCATAGAAGATGCGTCCCTCGGAGCACGAGGGTCCACGGGACTCGAGCTGCACACAGTAGGCAGCAGCTGGCCCCGCCTCTGGCCCACACCCACCCCGGGATGCTGGTGGCTGAGCGTCTTCGGGGGCCACCCGCTCTTCACCTGTTACCCCGAGATAACAGTCGCACTTACGCTAGACGTGCCGCCGTCTGCCCCGCACCGGGCGGCGCCCAGCGGAGAGGCCGGCAGGGAAGTTGAGCCCCGCTGCGGGCGGCTGAGCTCCAAGGGTTGGTTTGGGGGGCACCAGTGTGTCAGGGAACCCCGCGGCGCCTCGTTGGCTGGGGCGGGGACAGTGTGCCCCTCTTGACAGGGCTGAGGCGTGCTGAGACGGCCGGGCACATCGCCGAGGGACTCGGGACGTGCCGTCGGGGTGCTTTGTCCGGAGGCTGGGGAGGCCTCGGGTTTGTCTGCAGGCCTGGGGGAGTGGTCAGGAGGAGGGGAGGTGTCCCCAGGGGCTGTACAAAATGGAGGCCGGAGTCACAATGTGGGGGATGCCTGCTTTGTCGAAGTGGGGAAGGGCGAGGGCTGCTCCAAAATGAGAATGGTCCGCAGCACCCCAGGCTCCCTGGCACCCCCAAAACTAGATCCTGAACCCCTCTAAAGCTCCAGCTCCTTTCGCCCCCTCCCCCGTGCTGCAAAGGTTCTGGCAGCAGGTGCTGGTGCTGACGCCAGGCCAGGCATGTGGGGCGGCAGGCCGGGTCCCCGTCTGCCCCCAGTACTCGGGGGCGACGAGCCTGCGTGCGCTGCCTCTGCCCGCGATCCCGGAAGACGTCTCAGACACGCCCCGGACGCGCTTCTCACCTTCGCCCATTTGGATCCGGGCTGGTTTTGCTGGGTGCAGAGCAAGCTCTGGGGCCACACGGGGGCTGCTGAGCCCATTCTGTGAGCCCCGGAGCCAGCACTGCTGCCGCGACTGCTGGCCACGGGTCGGTCTGAGCCACCTTGGAGTGGGCAGCTGCTGGCGCTCCGGCCACGCCTCATCACAGGCCCCGAAAGTGCGGGCTTTCTTAATGGATTTCACTGGGATTTCTGTTTGTTTTCTAAGGTAAGAGTTGTGACAAGGGACAGTCTTTCCTGACCAGCGCGCCAGACTCGCCAGCCACGCTAGCCTACAGAAGCATAATTCAAAGTAAGTGTTTGCGCCTGGCAAGACCAGATGCCTGCGAGGCCAGGAAGGGGCGTAAGTGAGCCAGGGGGCCTGGGGGTGACGGGTCCTGCTAGGAGCACAAATGTTCACAACCGCACAGCCTCCGGCGGGGAGGGGGCGCAGGGCTGTGGGAGGACCTGGACGGTGTCCCCTCGGCCAGAGCGGGAGATCTTCCATTGTGTCGGTGTGGTAAGCAAAGTCAGCCTGAGAGCACGACAGCAGGAGTTTTATGGTACAGGAAACACAGCTCAGTGAAGCCGCACAAAGAAAAGGAAAAAACCCGAAGCTCCGCCAGCTGAGGCGAACTCAGCATGGGCCTGCCCAGCCGCGAGCGGCCCTGCCCGGCAGCCGCAGCCGGAGTCTGCCATTGAAGTTTTTACCCCTCAGTTTGTGGCTGCGCTTTGTTTAGCCAGATGTTGAGGGCAGAAAACCTCGCTCCCAGAATTCCTGACCACAGCATGGCTGACCACAGGGAGGCAGCTGGTATCCGGCTCCTTTGAGGATTCCTCAGTAGAAACGGGACTTTTTGGGGAATTGCACTGTCTGGAGATTCCACCCCAGTAGAGAACAAGGCGGCCCAGGGGCTGACCCAGCGCCCTGTTTTCCAGGAATCCAAGAGTTCTGCAGCCTGTGTCAGCCCAAAGAAGAGGACCTCCTCCCTTCCTGAACACAGAAGGATGCAGGTGGCCCTGGGACGCGTGGGCATCACAGGGAGGGACCGGCCTGGTGGAAGGCCCTTTTTCAGATTTCATTCTCTAGTATTTGTATGCTTTTCTTTAGAACATGTGTAAAGGGCTTTCTTCCAAACGTGCTGCTTAAAAATTAAAAATGTTGGCCCCTCCCTGGGAGCGCACCAGGTTAGGACACAACACTGCAAGCCGGCTGCAGCCGCTTCAGTGTGAGTTCAACCCCAGCCCCGGAGGTGACCCACAGAGCGCCGCAGACCTCTCCTGGCCCGCTGCTGCTCCCCTCAGCAGTGTACTTCGTCCATCAGCCTGTCCTGCTCCCCACTGTCTCTGGTGAATCCTCTCACCGCCCCTGCACCTCTGGCCTGTACCCCAGTTCCGTGTGCATAAATAAATCTTTTAAAAAATAAATAAAAATGTTTCCTCAACTCCCCCGAGGCCTGCTTCCCCTGAGAAGCCTTCAGCTGGTGGGTTGGGGAATTCTTCTCTGGTGGAAACTTGTCCGATAACAGAACCTCTCACTGAAGCCACTTCCAGAGATGAGTCTGACAGAAAGAACAGGAGGGATGAAGCTGAGACATTTCATGTGAGACGGTCCGCACAGCTGCTCTCCAGAGTGGGGGGCGCACTGAGTGCGCAGAGCCTGGCAGAGGCCTGTGTGGGCATGTAGCTGGCTGGCGAGACACCTGGAGGGGCCCTTCAAGCCCAGGTAAACAGCTGTGGTCTGACCTGTGCCCTGTGCGTGGACCCTGCACTCACCCGCTTCAGGGTCTGTCTGAACACGCGCAGATTTCAGTTCCATGAAAAGGAGACCGAGCTGTCAGCCCTCATTTACCCTCGCTGCCTTGACAGGCTCACTGTGACAAGAGGCTTGTCCCCGTAGCCCCGGGGCAGGATGGTGGCAGGCAGCAGATCCCGGAGCTCTCCCCACCCGTCCCCATGTGCGGCCACGCTTGGATTTGCATGTGAGAAAGGGGCCCCTCTAAAGCGCGAGGAGACTCCGGGGCCCAGTGGCCCCCAACGGTGTTGGGAAGCCTACCCAGACCCCAGGCCCTGCCGTGCAGACCCCGCGTGGCCCCACCTCTCACCTAATGCTGGTGAATCTCCAGCCCCTCAAGGCCCGGCTTCTGGAAGTCACGTGGGCAGGCCTGCAAGGGGAGAGGCAGGTGTGACTCCTCCCGTCAGAGGCCTGATTCTCTCAGTTCAAGGCCAGAGCAAGCCCGCCAGGCCCAGAACAGACTTCCAGGGTGAGCCTGGTCAAACTTAGATCTTTTGCTGCTAGAACACATGATGGGTTAGGTTAAAACCTAAAAATTTTTTTGTGGTTTGTAGACATTCCAAGAATTTTGTGGTATTAAAAGTTTTCTAAATCGCTAAAAATTAACCAGGGAAGTTCACAGAAGGACAAGGGCTTTATGATTCCCCAGTGAGGTCCCTGGGTCGGCTGATTCCTAGGCAAAAGGGCACCAGGGTGGGGGACATTTCCAGTCTAGGAAGCCAAGGGGTCTGGAGGGGCATGTGCTGAGCACCCCACCTACACCTCCTGTGGTTATGACGGGAGACTTTGGAGTTAGACCATTTTAGTTAACCCAATAACGTTTATATATTATCAGAAGTGGACAGTGGCTGGCTGGGTGAAAAGGAAAACCAAAAACTGCAGTTACAGCAGGCCCTGCTGTCTGGCGCGGGCCCGGAGGCATGGAGGCACTCACCGTCTGGAACACCGTCTGGGACAGAAAGCTGGCAGTGACCCTGCTGATGTCACTCTCGCCGCCCAGCTTACAGAGGATGTAGCCATAGAGGTTTGCGGCTTGGAGAGAAATCCCAGCTATCACGAGGGCCTGCGGGCAGATAAAGTGAAGGTACATTTCCTAAGACCATAAATTGAAATCTCACATGCCAAGCAGAAGTGACCAGGCTGGGCCCCGCCCACCTGTCCTATGCGCACAAGTGCTCAGGCATGCAATGACGTCAGAGCCAGCCCACCCTCCGGCGAGGATTCCCCAGGCAGCAGGCCGCAGGCCGCAGGCCCCAGGGCGACGCTGGTGCGGCCAGGATGCAGCCTCCAGAGCCACACGTGACTCAGCCACCGGCAGCGGGCATCTCGGTTGCTCACTGGGCAAACCAGATCATTTCAGTTTACTCGAGGAAACCTCAGAACCTGGAGGCTGGCTAGCTCCTGCTCAGGCGGGTTTCCCGCAAGGCTTTTAGTGCCTCTCCTTGCAGCTTTCTTCTACAAGCCAAAAACAGACGCTGGATAAGCAAAATGTGCCTAGCCAAGCAATTACTTAGCCCAAACGTGCCATGTCAACAATGCACATGAGCCTTAAAAACATAAAGTGAAGGGGCCTCCCTGACGGTGCAGGGGTTAAATCTCAACTCTGTCACCACCGTGGCCTGAGTTCAATCCCCGGCCAGGGAGTGACCCACAGGGCACAGCAGACCTCTCCTGTCTCCCCATGGCCCCTGTACCGTTGGGCCATACCCCAGCTCTTGTATGAATAATAAAATCTTTTAAAAATTATTTTATTTATGCATACAAGAGCTGGGGTACAGGCCAGAAGTACGGGGGTGGTGAGAGGATTCACCAGAGACAGAGTGTGGAGCAGGACAGGTGGATCTACTGAAATATGCTGCTGAGGGGAGCAGTGGAGAGACAGGAGAGGTCTGCTGTGCCCTGGGGGTCAGCTCCCTGGCCAGGGATCAAACTCAGGTCAGGCAGCAGTGGCCAGTGATAGTTCTGAGACTTTAACCCCTGCGCCACCAGGAAGGCCCAATAAAAAAATCTTAAACAAAATTAAAGTGAAAGAAGTCAATGCTAAAAAGACGGGGTACATCCCACGTGCAGGCTGCATACAGAATAAGTCTATACAAACAGGTACGAAGTCCCAAGGGGTGGGAGTGTGGGAAGTGGGGGTAGCGGTGATGGCTTCAGTTACAGGGGCATTCTGGGGGTGATGAAATATCCTACAGCTGATTGTGCGGGTTGCATGGCCGAGAGGCAGCGGCCGCTGAACCGTGGCCTCATGTGGGTGAGCACCAGCGCACCTGCTTCGGAGGCTTGCGAACATGTGAGGGGCCCAGCCCGTGGCCATGGCTCCGTGGAGACACCCGCCAGTGGCAGGTCCCAGCGCTGCCTTACCAGCCACTTCAGCTTCAGGGAAAATAAGGTGCTGAAAAGGAACACGACCCAAATCATGGGGCAGATGATAAGTCCGAGCCAGAAGATTCGCGCTTCCGCTTCTGTGGCAGCCGCGTTACTTGGAGACACCTGGGCGGGGAAAGCCAGTCCATTTCAAAAACCAGTGATGGGGTCGCCTAGGAGCGAGCTAGGTGTGGACTCTCACTCCCACGCGGCTTGAGATGGGGGTCAGAGGCAGGAGTCAATGCCCAGAGCCCCAAGAACCACTGCCACCCTCCACAGCCAGGCCCCCGCTCCTTGTGTGACGCATCATGGCAATACCTTTCTGGCTTCAAAAACCCAGTGGCTTTTCCCATCTTCGTCTATCTGGTTCCACCAGCGAAGACCCACCAGGAGCCTCCCAGTTACATTCTGAGGAAAATGGACAAAATGACTTAGCACATCAGAGGCAGTAACAGTCCAATCATTGAACTAAAGAATTTAAGTCCTAGGTTCATGTTAGATTTGGACAGGGAGCTGGAGGAAAGGGGGGTGGGGTGGTGAGCTGTGGGGGGCTCTCACTTGGGGGGCTCTCAAGATTCCAAGGCTCCTGGTTTTTTTCTTTTTTTTTTTGAACATTTATTTACTCATACACAACTGGGGTACAGGCCAGAGGTGCAGGGGACGGTGAGAGGATTCATCAGAGACAGAGTGGGGAGCAAAACAGGCAGATCAACGAAGTACACTCCTGAGGGGAGCATTGGGCTGATGAGTCAGGTGAGGTCTGCCTGCCATGTGGGTCACCTCCGGGGCTGGGGATCGAACCTGCACTGAAGTGGCTGTGGCCAGCTTGCAGTGCTGCGCCCTAGCCCATTGTGCCACCAGGGAGGGCCTGGCGTCTGGTTGTTTATGAGGCTTAATAACGTATGTGTATGTGTGCATGTGTATGTGTGCATGTGTATGTAATATTTAGAGCTTCCATGCGTGTATGTTAAATATACTCTGCATGTGAATTTGACAAAAACAAAACCACATGAAGTCACCCTCACGTGATACATATTTGCTACAGCTGCCACTTCGAAGCCATCTACTCAACATTTGTGTCTAAGTGATACCTGCCTCATTTATTTATCTGAAGTTTTATTGATGCATACAATAAGTGGGTGCAGGCCAGAGGTGCAGGAGGCAAAAGAATTCACCAGAGACAAGAGTGGGAACAAAACAAATGGATCTACTGAAACACACTGCTGAGGGGGAGCAGCGGGGAGGCAGGAGAGGTCTGCTGCGCCCTGGGGTCCCTCCCTGGCGGGGATCACACGTGCTGCAGGGGCTGCTGTGACTTAACCCCCTGGGCCACCAGGGAGACCCTGCCTCCTTATCACAGCGTTCACGTCAGCAGTTTCAACCAAGCCTCTCGGCCCGGGTCGGCCCCGCGGGAGAGGAGCCTCGGAGCAGATGGCAGCGCCCGGTTCAGGGGACGCCTCACCTTCACCGACCAGAAGTCGAAGGACAGCAGCAGCAGCACCGTGACGAAGCAGCCCACGAAGCTCCTGCTGAACCAGTCGCAGCACATGTAGGTGACGATGGCGCTCACTCGGAAGAACAGGTGGAAGAAGGTGGCCAAGGGGTGCCTAGGAAGGGACGGAGGACCCTCATCCCTGGGCCCCGGTCACTAGCCGAACTCTGTCAGCTGCAGCTCCCAGGGAACAGCCCTCCGCAGGGCGCCCGCAGCAAGGTTTCTCTCCTCTTTGAAGAATTCAGGACTTTCCCCTATTTTGGTTCCAAGTATCACTGGCCCTGATTGAAGTGAAAGCCAGAGTGGTGACCGCCTCCCCACCTGGGGGTTCAGTTCCCCAAAGCCAAAGGTTGAGGTATTCCACCAGCCAGCGAGCAGAGCACATGCAGACCACGTGTGGCCTCCCATCCTGGGGACACATTCCTGAACCGAGCGCGGCGAGAGCCTCTTGTGTGACTGAGTCACACCACCATGAGCTATGAATGCCGTTATCTCCCGCTGGAAAGAAGATGGCGTCACCAAAGTCAAAGCACAAACCACGCCGGCGCGCGTCAGGCAGCACCCGGTGATCTTAGTCACAGCCGGAGGGCAGCACCCCAGGAGAACACCCTAGGCAATCGGGAACCTTAGCTGAACAACCTGGCACACTAACCCCGGGCAGGAAGGCTACAGTATGAGGAAGACCACACAGACGGCACACGCACCTCTGGAGAGCCCATTCCCCAAGACGCAGCCACCCAACCCAGGCCCTGGGGGAAGCACGCTGCCCCCCCACAGCTGCCCAGACTCCACAGCTGCAGAGCTGGGCACTGTGAGGTCCTGGAAAGGCTTCTGCGAGGCCCTGACCGCACCACATCTACTTGGACTTGGGCCCTTAACAACCGAGGGTGCTGGACCGAGCCTGAGAATGCCGGGCTCACGCTGCATTCAAGGTGCTAACCGTGGGCGTGTGGATTCACGCGCCCACCCCCACCCCACTCACCGATGGTCGGGCTGCCCGCTGTACCTGGCCCACGTCAGCACCCACTTGGTGCGTCTAGACTGTCTAGACAGCCAGTAAACCGGCACCCGAGGAGCAGGAAGTCTCATGAGGGGCGAGGTCAGGGCATGTGAACCCCAGTCTCACAACAATGGGCACTCAAATGCTGGCCTGGGGGGACCTCCTTTGTCCACTGAGCCTCAGGCTTGAGGCATTCAGGCTTGCAACAGGAAATGTGATTTCTAAATGATGGCGACTAATTGTGTTGCTGAAATACTGTAGGCCGTGTTTCAGGCCGCCCCCTGGGCTGCCAGCTTGCAGCCTGGGGGCTGAGCAGAGGTAGCCCGCAGACCTGCTGGGGGCAAGCCTGCTCCAGCTGCCAAGGAGGAGATGTCAGAGTGAGCCCAGTGTGGGAGGGGGGCTTGGCTCCCCAGGGAAAGTTAAGAATAGAGACGGAACTTAAGTGGTTTGTTTGCATTCACTCCTGATCGGGCAGGGGAGCTGGGCCCACACACCTGCAGTTCACCAGAATCTTCTCATCTCTGCTTCCAGACGCTTCACTCTCCCCCCTCCCCGCAGCCCAGATGCAAAGCCAACCTTGGAAGGCATTTAAGAGCTACACCTGGTCACACACAACTTCCAAGCCAAGTCGCGAATGTTCGAGAAGGTAAGGCTCCACGACGTCTCTTACACCGTTTTGTTCTGATAGAGGATCTTCCAGTTAAAGTATCTTGATCCAGTTTTCCCCCTTCACCCTGAGGAGAAATGCGTCCTCCAATGACTGAAAGTTCTCCCCCAGCCAGACATCATGTTCCAGGTAATTTTATATCCCTGACGCACCTGCTACTTAAGATTCTCAGCAGATGCCTCTTGTTGAACCTTGGGATTGAGCCGCTCCACGTAGGGTCACGGGACCCCAGTGTGGAACAATAGACTTCAGGAGTGGAAGAGAGCATATACTCATCCAGTCAGTACACTGAAATAAATCCCCGGCCCACCACATTTTTTTTTTTACCTCCTTTGGCTGTGGTTTATATCTGAACTAAAATACTGAAAAAATTCCAATTGCTGGAAGGTTCACGTCTGGACCCCAGTCAGCAGCCTGCTTACCCTGCAATGCAAGGTGTTTCGGCTTCCGACACCACCTGCGAAATTAGCTTCAGTCTGCACCTTTCAAACTAACTTTAAAAAAAAAAAATAAAAACATGAAACATACAATAGTCTTTCAACTTTGGTATGTATAAAAGTGACAACTTCAAAACAACTTGCTTGTGGGCTTTGTGTGTGTGTGTGTGTGTGTGTATAGAACTGGGGTTTAGGCCAGAGATGTGGGGGTCAGAGGATTCACCAGAGACAGAGAGAGTGGGGAACAAAACAAATGGATCCACTGAGACACACTGCTGAGGGGAGCAGCAGGTGGGACAGGAGAGGTCTGGGGCGCCATGTGGGTCACCCCCTGGCTGGGGATCGAACTCAGGCTAAGGCATCTTCGCGCTGAAACTTAACCCTTAGGCCTCAAGCCCAGAATACTAGTTTTAAAAGAGGAAGAGAAATCATCTCAGCCTAAAAGCACTGGCCTTTACTGGTAGGAAATATTTTTTTTTTATTATTGCTGCGCTGTATGAAAGCCCAGAGCAGTCAGAGAAGACTTGCACTTTCAGGCATCTTCACTGCTGCCTTATGCTGCTTGTCTCGGTAGCCTCTGGGTCTGCCCAGCGATGCCCCAGCTAACACCATGTGACCTGGGCCAGCTTTCCACAGCAGAGCAGGGTTGAAGTGGTGCATCCTTCCCTGCCTGGGGCTCTCCACAGCCTCCTCTGGCCACCTCAGCAGCCACAGGCAGGCACTCACAAACAACACCCCCTCTCAGCACTCCCCTGGACACAGACAGAACAGAGGTGCCAGGCCCCAACTCCCACCTCACAGCGCCCCATGGCCACCCCCCAGCCCTACACTTCTCCCCTCCACAGCCCCCTCTTTAGGAAAACGGGAATACCAACAGGTATTCTGAGAATATTAAAGTGACCAGTGGTATAAGGACACTCTGCCTAATAATGGTGAACAGCTGTTGCTACCTCAGCCCCCAGAGTCAGCTGAAACTTCCACTTCCAAGCAGTAAACTAAATTTCCCCTCTGACCACAACTTCTTCCCTCCCTCCGCAGGGGCCAATTTTCATCTTTGCAGGTTCCCCGCCCCTCCCCCCCAAGAGTCCTGGCTCCTCCATAGACCCTCCACCCCTCACTCTCATTGATGAACCTCCTTCACTTTCAACTCTCACTGTATTTCCACAGCCTCCCTTCTCCTGGCCAGGAAGACTCCGTCTTCACAGGAAAGCAGGCAAGAATTATAAATGGTGAAGTGGGGTGGGGTAGCGGAAGTGGGAGCACTTAATTTAAGTGTTGACTCCAGTGGAGAGGGCTCAATAGGCTTTTCCAAGTCAAAATTCACTGTGAGGCTTGGCCCTGGAGACCTGTAGTCTGCCTCTTGGCAGAAAACGGTAGGTTCTCAGCCTGGAACACACGTAGAAGTGTCTCCTTGAGGAGACCTTAGAATGTGCACCAGGCCTTCCCTGCCCAGGACACACAGGTACAGATTTGGAATGGGTCTTGAATATGAATCTTACTAAACAACGTCTCTGCTCTTTACTGGGTTCACAGACCCAGGTCCAAGGGTTGATACGGCCCTCTTCCTGTTTCTGTAAATAAAGTTTTATTGAAACACAGCCATGCTCACTCATTCAGCCCACAAAGCCAAAACTGTTTACCCAGAAAGTGTGCCACTATGCAACTCATGTTCTTTTGCCCACATGTAACTCAATAAAACACAAGTTCTGACTGAAAACTCTGACTTTGCAAGTCACCCTAAAACTCTTCGTGATCTCACCCCACGGTCATGCTGCTAGGTGTAGCCAGAGTGTGTGTGTGTGTGTGTGTGTGTGTGTGTGTGTGTAAAACTGTCCACAAGTTCTTAGAGCAACATTTGCTGTCACTTCCCAGGAAGTGACACAGATGTCCTTCTATAGGGCAGTGGATAAGCTGTGGCCCATCCAGATTCCGGGTCATCTTTCAAATGCTGAAGCTCGCCGAGTCTCTCCAGGCAGAGGCCTGTGGAAAGATGGCGCAACTCCTCCCGGCTCGCTCTGCCTGGAGAAACAGCAGCTGAGGCGACTTTCTGGAATTTGCTTCACTGCTGCCCTTCTGCCAGCAGTGTGTCCCTATGAAGAGTGAGAGGAAGGGACCCCTAAGAGTTAGGGGAGCAGCCAAGGTGGCGACTGCCCAGGACACAAAGGGGTGGCCCCTGGCAGAAACCCCCCAGGGCCCCAATCTCGACTGTTTTAACAAGCTCCCAGGTGGCTCAGCCATACGTGAGGCGCTTTCCTCCACGCCCCTTTCCAGAGGCGCAGGAGCAACACAGAACAAGACAGAAAGGGCCCTGCACTGAGCAAGCAGCGCCCTCAGGGGCCCTTCAAAGCCCGTGGGGCCGGGCCTGGTCTGTTGTTTTCTCTAGATGCCCCGTCAGCTCTACTGTCCTTCAGAACAAGGCCAGAGCACAGCACGGCGCCTCCTCTCCCCAAGGCGCCTGGCCCGGGGTGGGCAGGTCTGGGGCTGCTGGGATGCCTGAGGAGATGGCAGGGTGTTTCTGCTTTAACAGTCAGCACCCAGCTGCAGCCTCCCTCTGCTGCTCAGTTTGCCCCTCTTATTTCTGTTCTTTCTAAAGAGCCATCAGAAATTCAGAGGCTGGATATACTCAGCATGAAAGTGAAGGTGAACCCCAGGACAGGTAGGTGGGCCCTTGGGCATGCAGCCTGTGGGTGTGTGGGTGGGTGGAGGTCCTCACCACTCCCTGGGGCACCCACAATTGTTACAAGAGGCAGAAACAACCCAAACGTCCATCCAGGATGAGCATCCTGCACGTGGCTTGTCTGAGGTGGAATACTACTCAGCCGTAAAAAGGACTAAAGCACCTCGTGGATTATTATATGGGAAAACCTTGAAAACACGAGTGACAAAAGCCAGACTAGTCAGCCCAAATACTGTCCGAGTATTTAGATGAGGGTCCTAGAAAAGGCAAATCCATAAATAAGTGAAGTAGTGGCACCTGGGGGCATGGGAGACCACGCAGGTGGAGGATGCCT